TGCACCCTGGAGCGGGTTCAGGAGAGCCCCAGGTTGGTGTGCTGGGCGGGGCTGGGCCCACTGAGGGGGCTGAGAAGCACCTGGAAACACGTCCAGACGGACGGAGCCTCCTGGCGCCACCTCGGCTGGGCCGTCTGGCGTTATTCGTTGTCAGATGATGATAAGATATTTGTGTCACAGTTGGGTTATAAGGCAGATGTATTCACGAACCAGATAAATGGTCTTTGTGAAAAAAAAAAAAGGCAGACAGACCAGTCTTGCCAAAAGCCTTTGCCATCGGGTCTAAGCACTTCCATGGAGAGTAGAAATCCCACCACCAGCACGCTTTTGGGGGAAGATGGCCTTCCGCAAAGGGAACAGATGAAGAGTGTTTGGTGTATTTGCAAACTGCAGATATCAAGGAAGTCTGGGAGAGAACTCCCTAAATCTCATTCACGATTTTCCTCTGCAAACCACCAACTGAAATTGCTACGTGTCCCCGCGGCCCCCCGCGTCTGCACAGTCACACACGCATGTGCACGCCCTTCGGCGTGTCTGCTATGCAAACACACTAGTGTGCATGCTTCCTTTGCAGACTTCTGCATCCAGGCCGTATGTGCACAGGAGGGTCCACAGGCCAGAGGTCCACGTACTGTTGCGGGCTCAGGAGAAAATGATACAGAAAATGAGAGTAAGAGTTAAGGGCTGTGGTGGTCACCTGGAACTGCTACCTTTTTCCTGTGGCTGCTGAAGTACCATCCATAATGGACTGGGATTTAATGGGGAAAAACGGCTCTGACAGGTCTGAGGCCAAGCGGAGGCAGCCGCCCCTGGACTCCAGTGCCCAAGCACGAACGTTTGGGCCAGTCCTGATGACTTTCTCATGGTAACAAAATGCTGCTAAGAACAGCCTTGAGGGGCGCCTGGGGGGCTCAGTTGGTCCAGCCGCTGCCTTCAGCTCAGGTCATGGTCCCAGGGTCCTGGGATCGAGTCCCGCATGTGGTTCCTTGCTCAGCGGGAAGCCTGCTCCTCCCTCTCCTGCTCCCCCTGCTTGTCTCTCTCTCTCTGACAAATAAATAAATAAAATCTTAAAAACAACAACAACAACAACAACTTTGAACATACACCTATTCCACATCAGTGGACAATCTTTTAGGTCAGTATCTAAGAGAAGCATTGCTGATTCAAAGGGTACCAACATTGTAAAACTTGACAGGGAGAGCCAAACTGCTCTCGCCAGCGTCCCTGCTCTCCTCCACACTGCGGGCGACTTCTGCTGAGATTCAAACTCAATACTGACTTAATTGGCCTCTGTAGGCTCCTGAGGAGGCTGCGTGTTTCCTGCACCCTCATGGGCCCTGTGGATTTCTCCCGGGCCCCACACATGATCTGGACACACCTGCTTCAGTGTCGATCCCCTTCACCTGCCAGGCGTGTCATGAACACTTCCCTCAGCCTGTCATTTCTCTTCCATCCTTGTTTACAATGTCTTTTCCTTAGAGACTTTAAAAATGTAACATCCTGGGGGGCCTGGGTGGCTCAGTGGGTTAAAGCCTTTGCCTTTGGCTCAGGTCATGATCCCAGGTCCTGGGATCGAGCCCTGCATCGGGCTCTCTGCTCTGCAGGGAGCCTGCTTCCCTCTTTCTCTGCCTGCCTCTCTGCCTGCTTGTGATCTCTGTCTGTCAAATAAATAAATAAAATCTTAAAAAAAAATGTAACATCCTGTTGGCTGATCTTTGACTTCCACTGCCTAGGGGGTGTTTTAATTTTGAACCTTATTTAGGGAAGCCTTTCTCTATGCTTGGGGTTGTTGCAAAGATGAACTGAGGTAATGTGTGCACAGCTGATGGGGGAAAGGCAGTTTGGACTGACTCCCAAACCACTGCTCACATGAAGGTCTTAGAAAATGAGGAGAGATAGCCACCGGGAGACAGTGCTATGGGCCACTATGTTCCACTCACGTTACCGGCTGCAGGCTACGAATAGTTTACTGGAATGGAAATGACTAAAAGTGATCCAACAAGAGGCAGAAAATCCACACAAACAAATCACTGTAGAAAAAAATGAGACAACAGTAAAAGTCTACCATTAACAAAGTCACCAAGTATGGAAAATTCTTTGGCTGAGGTCTGCCCAACCTTCAGAGGAGGCTGCAAACGTAGTCACTAGGGATCTGCAGCTTTCTCTGACACCGTGAGGCAGGAAGTGTGCAGGCCTGACAAGAGAGGCAGTGAATTTAGCCAGATTTGAGGCCCAGAGATGCAGAAACTGCAGAAGGCAGGAAGTATCTGGCATGTAGCGGCAGCTCCTCAGTTGGATGGAAGGATGATAGACGGACAGACGGATGAACAGATGGGTGAATGGGTGGGTTTGTGGATGGATAAACAGATGTGTGGGGATATGTATATATGTATGTATGGATGGATAGGTGGGTGGGTGGATGGATGGGTGGATGGATGGGGGATGGGGGATGGGTGGGTGGGTGGGTGGGTAGATGAGGGGTGGGTGGATGGATGGATGGGGGTGATGGATGGGTGGGTGGATGGATGGTGGATGGATGGGTGGGTGTTGAGTGACTCACTGAAGTACTTGGCCATAAGGCCAGGCTGGCTACAAGTGACCACAGTGAGGAGGAAAGACAAGTTCATTAAAGTCGGAGCGGAAGGAGAGAGAGGCATGGTTCCAATCAGAGAAAAGGTCTCGGGCCTTGGGGCCATCAGAGAGGGCACCCTGCTGGTGGTATAGCACGGCAAGGAGGCCGAGGTCAAGAGCAGCAACATTCAGATGTGGAAGGTGTTGCTGGTTTGAGGACAGGAGAACAGAATGGAGTTCTGGAGAATGGAGAAAAAACAGAGCCACAAATGCCAAAGCTGCTGGGGTCACCGACTGAATGACAGATGTGAGGGAGGAGGGTAAGGGCAGATGGCACAGCCTTCCAAAGAAATAAAGTTTTTAGTGAACTTGGCAGAAGATGGTCTAGAAGTGTGTCTGACAAACAAGCAATCAGCCTTCCTCTTCGGCTGGTGACCTGGCAGGGGACGGGGACGGCTTTCACTGAGCAGGTATGGAGGCACACTGCCAGTCCTTGTCAGGGCTGCGGGCGAACGACACCGCGGCCACTGCTGTGCGTGCTGCCAACAGCTGGGGGTCCACCAAGCCGTCCCCCTTACTCTTCCTTCTTCCAGAGGTGGGATCTTAGAAGGACAAAGCCTCTGAAACGGCCTCTCCTCCATTACCCTACATGGAAGAGTGGATAGCCTGCTGGGGTCTCCAAGAGCAATCTGGGCTAACTTTACCCATTAGGTCTGGTTTGCTCCACCCCTTGGGTCCCTGGGCCCACAGCAGACCCTCAGCAAGACAGCCGAACACATGCGTCCAATGCAGATTTCCTCAGTGGCCGGCACCCTCCCTCCCACAGACACGGCACGCCCTGCTGCTCCGCGAAGTTCTCCCACGTTCCACTTCCCACTCACTGGATAATTCTACTGGTCATGTTCAGGCCAAAACACTAACATAACGAGATCTACTATTATTATCCACGCAGCTTCGCCATGGGAAGTCCTGAGGGTGAAGCACAAGGCCTGGCCTCCCCCTCCCTTCCCTTGTGTTGGGTTGTTAGGGATTAGGACGCGCCCAGGGAAGCTAAGACCATAGCTGACAGAGGAAACATTTTTTTGCTGATACTTCCTTTGTGGTGCCCTGGGCTTCACTTCTAAAGCTGAGCCGTTGGCGGGTCTGCAGCCCTCCAGCCTCCCCTCCACTTCTAGACAATGGACAGGAGAGAGGGAATGGCCTGTCTCCCACTGCCCGTGGAACCCCAAGTCCCTCATCTCTGATCATCACACAATCTCAAGGCTCTTGCTGGAAAAGCACAGAGAGGCAGAAGCCATGTAAGGCGAGGGGGTACAGTGTGAGGAACAGGGTGCCACAGGGCAGCGAGGGCTGCTGGTGAACATGGTCTGAGAGTGGCGTGGCCAGGGCTTGCTCTTGGTGCTAACTGAGAGTGTTTGCTCTGGGCAAGGCTACTCCCGGCTGGCTGTGCCGACAACCATGCAGCCGCCCCGTGAAGCACATCAGCTCGCCCACCAACACTGCTGCCTCTGGTCCTCTGGCAACAGGGGACCTTGGCTTTGTGCTGGGAGCTGGGTGCCTGCTCGCCACGCATGACTCTACGCCAGCCCTTCCAAGGAGCCGCTGGGAGGAAGGTGCAGCTCACCTAAATCGGGGGACCTTTTCCTTCCATCTCTCCCCGCAGGGAGTGACAGTGTGACTACTTCTCATCAATTTGGAATCTATTATTTCCTTCTTGGCTTATCAAGAGACGGTGTCCTGTAAGTTCCTGGCTTGTGGAGCATGATTATAAATGACTGTGCCTGCAGTGAACCCGTGTTGACCACATCACTGGCAGAGACCGCGTCAGTCTGAGCGCCGCCCGCACGCAGCAAACGAAGCCCTGGGCCCGGGCTGTAGGCCTGGACGAGGACATGCCTCTTTCTAGTCTGGCTGTCTTTCTTCAGAGCCAGGGCCCTGAGACACCTGGGGGCAGCTGGGCAGCCACTGCCGGCGGTCTCAGGCCGCGTCCCAGTGGACCCATGGCGGCCATCAGCGACAAGTCCGGGCAGGGGCAGCCAAGAACACGGCGGCTGTGGCTGCCCCCCCAACAATGCAGCCCAGAAAGGCCACGGCTGTCCACTACAGTATTGTCTCACAAATGCTGCCCGAGGCTCGGGTTCACGGACACATTTCCCCCCCCCCCCCCCCCGCAAGATGAAACTCTGCTCTGTGCCTGTGACCCCTGACCCCGGCTTCCCTCCACAAGGGCAGCCACTGTTCTCCCTCCTGTCTGCCAGGGAAGTCAGGCCAGATGCCCCCACAGGGCAACACAGTTTCTCTCCTCCCTCCTCTCAGGCCCCTCCCCTACCCCTTCCAGGGGAGTAACCCACAAGCAAGGCCTTCTGGGAGGGCCCCCGGCCCCCCGGCCCCCACTGCCTGGCAGTGCAGGCCACGGCGCCCAAACTCACCCGGGGCACGATGGCCGAGCTCTGCACGGAGCCTGTTCCCCATCTCCAGGAGCTGTTCTTTCTCCAGGCAGAGGCGGAGGATTTTTCGGGTGGCCTCCTTTAGTTTCCTCTGGAGTCGGGGCACAGACAAGGTCTGTGGGGGCTGTGGCCCCTGGTCCTCAGTCGCTCTGGGTCTTTGGTCTGTGGGGCTCTGGGAAGGAAGCTGCAGGCAGACAGCCCGTAAGACGAGCCGCCCAGGGGGACAGGCATGAGTGGGTGGGGGGCAGAGCCTGCACCACCGGGGGACAGAGGGATAAGGAGCAGTGGGCTTTGCCAGTGAGACGGGGACCTCACATCACGGATAACTCCTCTATAGTGGGGTGAATGAAGGCCAGGAGCCCCCGGGCCAGGCCTAAGTCTGGTCCCCTGCGGCTCCCACCAAGCCTGTGTCTTTCTAGCGAGGACGGCGAGGAACCGGCTGGAACCCATGCCGAGTCTCTGAGGGGTCTCAGGGATGCATGAGGGCTGCCTTTCTGACTGGGTCCCCTGTGGGACACCAGGTTACGGGCTGGGTACACAGGTCACGGGTACTGGGTCACATGGTGCAGAAGGAGCTGGCAGAGGCTGGACAGAGCCTGGGGCTGGTGCCTGCCTTCCCCATTTCTCTCCTGCCTGGACTGTGCAGCAGGGTCCCTGTGAGGGGCCTCCACACAGTCCCCGGACGGACACCACTCACCGGGATGGTGTTTGGAACGAGGGGGCCGTGGGGAGGAAGAGAAAGGAGAAGACAAATGCATGTGTGCCAGACAGAGGCCCAGGAAAAGGCAGCCTCCAGGGCCCCAAGGGACGCAGGTGGCCTCTTTCGCTGCCCGTGGAAAGCTGCCCTGGTCCATCTTGGCCACACAAGCTGCAGCCAGAACAGGAACCGGCCCAGAGTCCCTGGAATAGACCAGCACATTCTGTCCTGGCCCCATTTCCTGGTGCGCCTTCCCAGGGCTGGTAGACGCCAGCACACGTGGTGGCCGCTGTCCTCCAGGTGGCCGGAGCTGCGTGGCTCACACAGGGGCCTCTTGCACAGGCTGCGGGCAAGCCGGGCAGGAGGACGGGAGGGGAGGCAGCAGAGGAGAGTGGGAGATGGCTCTGTGCCCACACCCTGACCCCTGACAGAGCGCGGGCCCGCCTGTGCTCTCCTGAGGACCCAGGATGTGACTAGGATCTTCAGGCCCATGGAGGGGCTGGGACAGAGCTCAAGGGAGGACAGAGGCGAGTGGGGACACGATGTTGGGAGTCTCCAGTGCCACTTTAAGTGAGGAACGATACTGAGCACCCCAAAACGCAGGAGATAGGCAAGAGAAAGCTCGCTTTTGAGAGCTGACCCAGCCCACCAGGCAGTCCCCCATGCTGGCCCCGTCAGCCCTCGCCTGCTCAGGGGCTGCTCCCAGAATCCTGGCCAGGGGAAGGGGTCCTCGTGAGGGAGGGGTCCACTCCCAAGGGCGGTGGTAACTGCGCTCCACAGAGGCTGACGGCAGAACATGCCCCAACGTGGGGGTGCAGAGGGGGCCTGCCGGGGCTGCAGGGGCTCTCGCGGGGACATCAGGGATCCCCGTCCTTCTGCACGTGCCGGGGTGCAGGCACAACCGATGAACACTGCCCCCCAGTGGAGCCGGAGTGTCCCTCCCGCTGTGCTCAAGGGACAGGGCGGAGCCGTGGACAGGATGAGGGGAGAACCGCAGATCTCAGTCAATCCTCCGGGCTGGGAGGTCACTGGGGACATGACAGACGCTGGTCCGGCAGTGGCCTCTGCTGCCCACTGGGAAGGGGCTCTGAGTCCCGCATGGGCCCCTTTTCTAGGCTGAGCGGTGGGGGACCGGCCTCCACCTGGGGGAACGCCAGACTCGCACGGGAGCGCCAGGATGGTGCCACCGTACGCCAGTCCCTCTGCCTCACGGCCACCAGCCCCACGTGCCATGCACGCTTTCTCCTGAGCCGCGGACGGGAAGCTGGAGACATCGTGCTCGTTGATGCCTCAGTGCCTCAGTCCGTACTTCCGAACACGGATCTTCTCTTGGTGACCACAGTCACGCAAACCAGAAATCCACGACAGACACAACACTATGACCCAGCTCACGGGCCACACGCATACCTCGCCCACTGTGCAATCGTGTCCTACAGGTATAGCGGGGGACCCCACAGGACATCTGCCTCCCGCGTCCCTGCAGGCTCCAATGGGCACACACTCCGCGGCGCAGGCCCATTTTAGCGCATCCCTCGCGGCTGGAGTCGGCAGTGAGGCCGTGAGCCCCGCTCCCCGGCGTGGCTGGCTTCGAAGCCCAGGACGTCTTTCGGGCCCAGCACCTGTGCGAGGAGCACGTCCCTCAGTGGAGCGGTGTCCGCAGGCTGCACCCTAGGAAGCTGTTCTCTTCCCAACCTTGAGCCGCCCCCCCCGCTCCATGGGAGACACCGAGTCCCAGCCCTGTTCCTCCTCCGTGAGTCAGGATGGCTTCTGGGCACATGGGCCTGCCATGTCTGCAGACACGGTTCTGGCCAGGGACCAGCCCTCCTCCTTCCTCCCTCTCCCGGTCGGCACAGGCCCGGGAGTCCCACTGCTCGTGTGGCTGGCGCCTGGGACCCTTCGGTGCCCGCATCCTTCTGTCCTGTCTCCGTATGTCCACGGGGGAGCCAAGCACCCTGCTTCCTCTCAGCAGAGCAAGAGATGCAGAAACTCGTGTCTCAGCACTGGTGACGTTCAAGGATCCCGGGCCGCCAAGGTGCTGGCCTTCCTGCAGTCAGCCTGGATCGGGCATAGTGACCGGCTACTGGATTTCCTATGCCTCAGGTCTCCCCCCAGGTCACAGTTGCTTCAGCTCCAGCCCGTCCGTCACAGAATTAAACATCTTGATTTCAAATCCTGCCGATGTAACTGATTCCCTCTTGCCAGGCGAGCGGGATCTGTGAGCCAGGCTGGGAATAGAACCCCTGGCGCCACCGACCGCCAGGCTGGGCACGGGTAGCACCTGGAATGAATGCTGGGGACGGGGTGAGGCAGACATGCTGCCCACCTCCCTGTGACTCAGTGGTCCCACGGCCTCGAGTTCAGGACAGCGGGAGTCCTGGTGCAGGGCTGGGGCTCTGGCTCTCCAGGCCGCGTCCACGTAAGGGCGGTGCCGGCAATTCTGGGTCCCGCCTCCCGGTGACCCCTGAAGGCCTCCCCTCTGTGGCCGTTCTTGACCCATCCATCCGTCTGTCCGTCCCAGGGCCTGTCTGGACCCTCTTGCTGTTCCTGAGCCAGAGAGGAGTGGGCGTCCCCTCCCCTCCGGTCCTTCGGGGCCGGCCGTCGTCCTAGAGCCGGGTCCACCTTGTGCCTCTCAGCTCTGCCTTCCACACCCGCTGCCAGAGCGCTCCCTGCGCTGCCCAGATGCCACGGCACAGTCGCAGCTGCAGGTGGCCACGGGGAACTCAAGTCACGGCAGGTCACCATGAGTAACGCAGGTCACTGTAAGTCACCATGAGTAACCCAGGTCACTGCAGGTCACCACAGGTAACGCAGGTCACTGTAGGTGCCACAGGTCACCAAAGATAATCACAGGTGACCCAGGTCACCACAGGTAACCGACAGAGTAAGAAGTGTGCCCTTGACAGCATTTCCCTCACAGGCGTCGGTAAGAAGAGAAGCGGCCCGTTTGTCAGATCCGTGGGGACGGCAGCTGTGGACTCTCTGCACAACTCAGAACCATGGCTTGGACCAGCCGTGGAGCCTGCTGGACACCAGGTGCGGAGGGCCAGGGCCAGGACGGGAACCCCACTGTCATGAGTGCAGAGGCGGTGGCTCAAACCCTCTGAAAACCCACACAAGGGTCCTCTCAAAGGAGAAGCCCAATTCTGCATTCAGTTTCAGGGCCCTCCTAGCAAGAGGACTCCCTTTTAGAGGAAATAGAACAGCCTCTTCATACGTGTGGTTTTCCCATGCTGGACTTATTATTATTATTTTTTAAGATTTGCTTCTTTATTTTGGGGGGGAGGGGCAGAGAGAGAGACTCTCAAGCAGACGCCCACTGAGCGCAGAGCCTGACGCGGGCTCCACAACTGTGAAACTGTGCCCTGAGCTGACCCCAAGGGTCAGACGCTTCACCGACTGGGCCACACAGCGATGTGGACTTCAAGGGGCAGGGTCCTAAGGCCTGGAGGCCACGGACCAGGCCTGCCCAGGAAAGCCAGCCGCGGGGGAAGCCTGGGACGGCTCCACAGACGGCCACTCGGGGACTTCCGCAGCAGGCCCCGGAGAGGACAACAGCAGTGGCGGGAGTGATCAGCACAGGGCACCTACCTCCCTCCCGAGGGCCACCTCGTCCAAGGTGGGCAACAGCGGCCTGTTCCCGAGGTGCTCCTCAAGCTCAAACACCTGCTTCCGCAGCTCCGAGACCTGCTGGCACACCTGGTCCACCTCACGGGGAAGCTCGTGCTGGACGGTGTCCACGTCCAGGGGTCGCTGCAGCACCTGGGAGGCCATTTTAGGGGCAATGTTAGGCTGGAGGGCGGGGGCTGGGAGGGTGGGGAAGCAGAAGGGCAGGCACACTCATCCGATGCTGCAGAAAGGTGACAAAGGACACGCGTCTGTCGGTCTCCCGCCTCTGGCCTGATGCAGCCGATCCGCACACCAGCACCCCGCCCGCCCCCTGCAGCGCGCCCTGCGGGGCCTGTGGCAGGGCCTGCGCTGGACCCAAGGCTGGCCGGGGAGCATCCAGGCCTGAAACCCGCTCTTCTGGAGCCCAGTTCAGGCAGAAACCAGCAAGTGTAGAAAATGCTGGTGACCAGGAGGGGGCAATCCAGGGCTTGGGATGGGAGCTGGAGTGGTGGGAGGGGCAAGGCCGCGGCTAACTGACTAGCCAGAGAGAGCCTGAGCTCGGAAGGCAGAGGGTGGAGGAGGACGGAGGGTCAGGAGGGCAAGTCCCAGGGGCAGGGCGGCCTTGGTCGTGCAGGGTCGGCCGTGAGATCCCCAGAGCAGGTCCCAGGCCAGAGCTCCAGGGCCAGCCCCTCACTCTGGACATCTGTCCTCCTGCTGATGGAAGGAAGGAAAGAGGAGGCAACAGAATGAAAGGTGCCCCTCTAGACTCACTTCCATTTTATTCCCAGGAAGAGGAAATATGTTCCTTTTCCAGGAAGTCCTACAATGAATATTTTATTCTTTGAATTTATCACATACACACCAAAAAGGTGACCACTTGCTCAAGAGATACTGTTCAATAACAAACAAAAACACATCTTAAGGTGAACATTTCTCCCCGTGATAGTCATATCAGCTATGGTCATCAAGAGAAAATTAAGAGCTTGTACTTAAATGTTCACTTCCCATTTGTAAAGTGCGTGCGTGATGTGCCAGCGGCGGGCAGACCGGGAAGCAGCAAGGCGGAGCGCCCTGAGCCTTCCCCCGCACCGCGAGCAGACAGGAGCCACGAGCTCCCCTCCGTCCTGACCGGCAGCACAAGGCAGCAGCCACCCCCTCCAGTGGCCAGGAGGCTCAGACACGCCACGCCCAGCGGCCAGTTCTGTTTCACGGAAGACGCAGGGCACACAGGGCAGTGGGATTTGTGTTATTTATGGACTTAAAAGGACATGTGAGAACTTCTTGTTTCCTCGTGAAAAACATTTCTGTGCAAAAGGCAACAGGACGGGATGACACCAAAATTACAAGCAGTTAAAAAAAAAATAGGCAAAACAGGGACGCCTGGGTGGCTCAGACATTGAGCGTCTGCCTTCAGCTCAGTCACGGCCCCAGGGCCCTGGGATCAAGCCCCGTGTCGGGCTCCCTGCTCCGCACGGAGTCTGCTTCTCTCTCCCTCAGCCTGCGGCTCCCTGGGCTTGTGCTCTCTCTCTCTCTGTCTCTCTCTCTCTCTCTCTCAAAAAAGGAATAAAATCTTTTAAAAAATAAACAAAAAAATTTTAAAAATATAAATAAACTGGAAATCATAAAAACTAGAAACATTTGTGCTTTGAAGCACATTATCAAGAAAGTGAAAAGAGGAGCCTTAGCATGGGAGAAAAATTCTGCAAACTGTGCATCTGATAAAGGACTAGTATCCAGGATACGCAAAGGACTCTTAGAACCCAACAACAGAGAGACAAACGATGCAGCTACAAACCACAGAGGATCGGAATCGACATTTTCTCAAAGACACACGACGGCCAGTGAGCGCACAAGAGAATGTGCCACACCGTTCGCCGTTGGGGCAGACGCAAACCACAGCCACGGCAGCCGCCGCGTCGCACCCACTGCACTGGCCGCAGCTAAAAAGAAACTAGGTCACGTGGGTCAGGACGTGGGCTGTGGGGATCCTCACGCATGGCTGGGGGTACGGAAAACGGGGCAGTCGCTTGGGGAAACGGCTGGGTGGTTCTTCAGAGAGGGAACCTCGGACTCACCCCATGACCCAGCACGCCCGCACCCGCACGTGTGCCCAGAGCCACGGCGAGCAGGGACGGGCACCGAGGTCCGGAGCCCACGTTCGCAGCAGCATTATTCACAGTTGCCAAGAGGAGGGGACATCAGAGTGTCCATCGGAACCCACACATGTGGGGAACACACGCTATTCCTCAGGTCTCAAAAGGTGCCAAGGATGACGGACGGACGTTGAGGACATGGCGCCGAGGGAAACGAGCGGGTTGGCAAACGGCAGCTGCTGTAGGACCCTGGTCCCGGGAGAGGCACCCAGCCCGCCAGCAGGACGCAGGTCCCCAGTGCAGCCCTGCCATCTTGTGCCTGGCAGAGAGGTCCCAGGGGAGGGGTGTGGGGCTGGTGCTGAAGGGGGACGGTTTCTGTTCAGGTGATGGAAAAGTTCTGGGACTAACAGACAGTGGTGACACTTACACAGTGTTGCCAACGGACTTAATGTCACTGATCGTACACTTGAAAATTATAAGCTTCATGTTTGTATATTTTACCACAATGAAAAAACACTAAAAAAGAGAAATGGTGAATTTGCAGCAATAAAGCATGGGTTGTGACCCAGGCTGCACGTGTAATGCGGAGAGCATGCGCCCCGAGAAGCAGCGGGCATCGGCCCAGGGCATGACTGTGGTCTGACCCCACACAGGCTGCTGAGGCGTCTGGACACGCTCCCACCACACCCCGTGCCCAGACCGGCCCCGGAGTGTCATGAGCACACAGCCGGCATCATGCTCTGGGCCACAGCCGCCCAGGGCAGCAGAGACGGCAGGACCTGTGCTCCGCCATAGTGGCCCCTTGCTCCGGACTCATTTCCCAGGCCTTCCGGGTGCCGTCACATGACCACACATGACCTCACAATAACCCCTTCTTGGAGAGCTGCCCGGGAGAGCTGCCCGGCCCACGTGTCAAGGGGAAGCCATACCCTCTGCCTGAGTCGGGCCACCAGGCGGTTCACGACACGTGCCCTGTTTCGGAGCCTCCCGAGCGCTAGCCCAACGGGGGCACCTTCGGCTGGCACAGCTCCTCCTGCAGAAAGAAGGAGTCTGTCAGGCTCAGGTCTCCTGAAGCCCCGGAGAAGGTTCCAGTCAGCTGCCCTGTCTGGGGAGTCGAGCCTGTGCTGTCCAGGGCAGAGGGCCCTGCTTCCCTGTCCTCCCCCAGGGATGCCCGCTGATCCTGCATGTCCACCGGGAGGTCTAGCTCTAGAGCTGAGTGGAAGGGCCAGGTCCCCACCAGCACCGAGGGCCATGGGGGATGAAATCTCATCCTCGTGCCGAGAAAGCAGCGTCTCTGCGGGAAGACGGCGCAGCCTTGCCGTCTGGTGCCCGGGGGAGGCCGGTCAGTACCAGCTGCCCCCTCACTTGGGCATTAGGGAAACGTTCCTAAACCATAGGTCAAGGAAGGAATCAGTGCAGGTTAGAAGTTATTTTGACCTGAATTATCATTAATAAAGCGCTTATCCAACTTCCGTAAAGCAGGGCAGCCTGCTGGCTCAGGCGGTGGAGCGAGCGGCTCCTGATCCTGGGCTCATGAGTCTGAGCCCCATGCTGGGGGTAGAGATTACTTAAAAATAAATGCTTTTTAAAAAATTAAGGGGCGCTTGGGTGGCTCAGTCACTTGAGCGTCCAACTCCTGATCTACGCTCAGGTCATGATCTCAGGGTCGAGAGATCGAGTCCTGATTTGGGCTCTGAGCTGAGCACGGAGCTGGCTTCTCTCCCTCTGCCCCGCCCCATGTTTGTGTGCACGTGTGTGCTCACTCTCAAATGACTCAAGACATCTTTTAAGAAATTAAGTAAACGTGGGGACCCAGGTGGCTCAGTGGGTTGGGCCTCTGCCTTCAGCTCAGGTCATGATCTCAGGGTCCTGGGATCGAGCCCCGTATTGGACTCTCTGCCGGTGGGGGCCCTGCTTCCCCCTCCCCCCACCTCCGCCTGCTTGTGATCTCTCTCTCTCTCTGTCAAATAAATAAATTAAAAAAAAATTTAGTAAATGGGGCACCTGGGTGACTCAGTCATTAAGCATCTGGCTTCAGCTCAGTCATGATCCCAGGGTCCTGGGATTGAGGGGCTCCCTGCTCAGTGGGGAGCCTGCTTCTCCTCCTGCTCTCGTGCTCTCTCCCTCTCTCTCTCAAATAAGTAAGTTAAAAATAAAATTCATAGGACGATACTATTAGTAATTTTTGAAAATTTAGAGGAAATGGACAATTTTCTAGTAAAATATAGTATCAAAAAGTGACACAAAAAAGAAAACGTGGATCATCCTTTACTGTGAGAAAGAGTGAATTAATACTTTAAAGCCTTCTCACGAGGAAAATCCTAAACCCAAAAGGGCTCAGAATTGAATTCTATTAACTGGCTCACGAAAAATTAACATAAGTCTAACACAAAGTTTTTCAGAAAACAGAGAAATAGGGAACATCTCCCAACACATCTGAGGCCAGACTCGTGGTCCTAAAACTTGACAATGGGCATCATGAGAAAGAAAGGGTACAGGCCAAAGTCACTCACAAACATAAACGTACTAATTCTTGGTAAAATATCAGTAAAAGAATAAATCACATGTGGAGTTTATTCCACAGGCGTAAAGCTGGTGTTAACATTCAGAAGCCAAGGCACGCTTGCTGCTCCGAACAAGACGGCGCGTGTGTGCCCCGTCCCTCTCCTTCGGTGCAGCTGAAGCCTCGAGCGACCGTGAGGGGAGGCCCAGCAGACGAGGGCCGGGGCTCCGGGGACACTCCACGCTGGGCTCCATGTCTTTTTTCTTCCTGTATTTCCTGGCTTTGATCCTGAAGCAGCCACAACCCAGAAAGACCAGGGAGCTTAGACCAAGAAAGGCCAGGCCTGCTCCCTGCAATGGAAGGGCCGGGAAAGAAAGGCAGAGGCTCCCGTGCACCAGCCATGTGGACCCTCCCGGGAAGAGCATATGGTGAGGGTTCAGGGGGGTGGGGCGGAGAAAGGAATTCCTTAACTCTGTGCACTAAGTCCCTGCGGGGGCCCCCGTGGAAACCAGGCAGCATGGATACAGCCAATGTGTTGCGAGCTGAGCTTTGCGAGGCAGGGAAAGCGCCAGGACTGGTGGCCTCAGGCAGAGCGGGACAGCATCATCGCAAAGGCTCTGGTGACCAAGTGGCCTTTCAGATGCAGCCCGAGAGACGGGCCAGGACATGGATGTGCGTCGTGCCCCAGTAAGAGCAGAAGAGGGGTCAGGCTTTCAGAGCACCTGCTTGGTACACGCCTGTCATAGTCCAGGGCCACTCATCGCACCAACAACCAGGACAATCCCAACTGACAGGACTGACGTCAGAACCACGTGGAACAGGGAATCAGTACACAGAGTTAAGGGATTCTACCACGAGGAATAGGGAACAAGGGATTTAAAACAAGCTGATACATTCTTAAAACAATGGAAAAAAAGAAGTTTCAGCAGAGGAATAAAAGAGAAAGAAAAACCAGATGCAATCTCAGAACTGACACTGAAATAAAAGTGCCCCCAAAGGGCTCCAGAGCAGCTCGGAGGGGACCCTGGGCCTGCGAGCTGGAAGATAGAGAAATCACCGGTCTGAGACACAGAGGAAACAGATGGACAAAAGTCCCAGAGCCACAGGGACCTGTGGGAGAACAAGCCAGCGCTTTTGTCGTCAGATCCCAAAGGGAAAAGAGCAGGGAGTAGAGGAAACATGTGCCCAAGTCACGGCTGAAAACTCCCGCAACCTGGCAAAGACAATAACCTCTGGATTCAGTGCCAAACGGGCAAGCCCAGACACACCACCATCGGGTTTCCACCCCGAGCGACAGACGCGGCATGGGGCTGGTCGGGGACGGGGCTCAGAGGGCCGGGCCCTCTCGGAGGGACGCGGCACCACGGCTGTGAGGGCTGGGAGCTCCTCCTCTCACGCCAGCGAGAAACCCCCTTCTGAGATGACGGGAAGCCAGAAGACTCAGCAGCAGCAGACCTGGATGACATGGAACCTGGAACATGGCCTCAGGAGGGACACGTGCCAAGGGCAGGCGTTTGCACGAACCTGCCAGCCTCTGGCTTTCCTCCTGAGTCTTTCAGGTCACACGGGACAGCTCCAAGCAGGGCCGAGAACACCGCCTGCCGCGGCTCCCCACGTGGGAGAGGCGGGTTTTGTGCTGAGGGGCCTGACCGCCGCCTTCCGCTGGAGGCTGTGACGGGAGCTGGCCGTGGTCCTGCAGCCACGGACCCGAGCTGCGCGGGTGACCCATGAGCAGAAGTCACCAAGGGACAGAGAGCGGGAAGGAAGCCGCTGCTCACGCCCCACACTAGGGCCAGGGTGGCCGGTGGACACGTGTCGGTCAGAGACGTCGGCAATGTAGGCTTCAGAAACGGACCCACCTGTGCGCTGCCTGCGAGAGTTGCCTCAAGTGGGGGAGAGGCGGGTCGGAGGGGAAAGGGACCTGAAGATATGCCAAGCAGACGCTCACCAGGGGGAGGCCAGGCTAGTGACCAACAGCACACGGCACAGACCCCGGGGCAGGGAGAAAGGGCCATTCCAGGACCACTGAAGGGTCTGATCCCATCACAACCACGGCAATCCTACACGTCCGACGACAAGGCTTCAAAACGCACTAAGGAAAATTGACAGAATCACGGTAAAAAATAAAGATCAGCCTTACAACAGGAAGAGAAAGGAACTTCCTTCTCCGACCCTGTTCCCCCCAAATCCTTACAAAATATTTAGGAGAAATGCTGAAAATTTTTTTGGGGGATCAGGAAGAAAGCCAGCTGTTATCAACATCATACTGGGGATGCCAGCCAGGAAAAGCAATATGAGAAAAAGAAATAAAAGAGACCAGCTCTGGGGAGCCGGCCAGCTCCCGAGCGGAGACTGGTCGACCTGGAGAAGAGCCCTGCTCCCTCCCTTCTCCTCGTGTAAACCCTCGAGCTGCCTGGCCTGCGTCCACCCCCCTAGTCCCCCCAGGCGGGCCCTGCACCAGGCCAGCACCCAGCCCGGCTGGTGTGAGAGCAGGGATGGGGCAGGGAGGCGCCCATACAGAGTGGTGAACGGGAGCAAACACCTGAGAATGGCCTGACCCGGGGACTCCTGGGGGTCAGGACAGGGGACCTGCAGTCTGTGGTCACTCCTGACCTGTGCGTTTGCTAATTTTGTGACTTTCTGTAGGGTTTATACTTCAATTAAAACAAAGGCAGTGTTACTGGGGCAGAGCGTGCAACAGGACGGGACAAGGACTCTTACCGGGGACATCGGCCAAGGTGCGGACGTTGGGCTGAGAGTCAGTGCAAGAGGAGGACGTCTTTGAAGGATCAAACACGTCTTCGAGTTGTTCTTCCAAGGCTTTAAATTTATGCTTTAGATTTCGTATTTCTGTTTCAAGGACCGTAACGTGATCTGCCCCAAAAGACCCAGGAGACACACAGACACGCACGTTTACGCGTCCCTCCACCATCGCCAAGGCAGAGGCCCACGCAGGCTGGTGCTGTCTGTCTCCCAGTGTGTCCCCCACAACGGCCCCTGGCCTGGGTGCTCACTGAGGAGGGCCCCACAGCCCAGCAGACCCTCAGCGTCCCTGCCATGAGCCTTCATGCGCGGTAGCACGGTGTGTCCCCCCGCTGGTGGAGCTGTGCCCTCCGCTCACAGCCGCTCCTGGGCTTCCTAACGCACATGGGGCACAGCTCACCTTGTCTACAGCACAGGACGCCCTGAGTAGAGGCCTGGTGCCCTCGGCCCTGACGCCTGCCCCTCGAACACGGTGCCCAACCAGCTCTCCGTGCCAGCGGAGTCCCGGCTAGAAGTGCCAAGTACACAGCCTTCACCTTCCTCTTCCCCTTTCCCAGTGAAATGCTGTTATCGCACGCAGAAGCACTGACGGAAGATGCTCTCATCAGCGGAAACGCTGCTGTCGTTCTCGGACGTCCTGCTCTAAAGCGGATGCTTGTTTGTAAGACTCTGAGTGCAGCCCATCTTGGACCCAGTGGAGACCCGTGACCCCTGCCCTCCCCTCCCCACTCCTCCTGCTGCCCTCTTCCTTGCTCACCAGGCGCCTCAGCTGCTGCCTCTGGGCTTGGACGGGGCTGCTCTGTGTCGGAGGCCTGAACCCCCGACGGGGCAGGAGGAGGAACGTGGTCACTCAGAGTCTCCATTTCTTTCCTCATCTCCGCAACAGCCCTTCGTAAGCTTGTGTTCTGCTCCTGGAGCCTCTGCATCTCACTGGACGGAAAACTTGCCCTTGTTTCCTCTTCCCGATGCCCGAGGAGCACCTGTCACAAAGGGCAGAGAATGCTTACAGCAGCCGAAGGAGCCCGCGGCTCGTGCCGTCCAGGCCGCTGCGCGCCCCCGCCTCCCGCCGCGTCTGCACTCCCGGCCATGGGGACCCTCCGCCTCAGCGGATGGTGCGGACCCTCCAGTCATCGCAACAACGGGACTGCTCTTGGCCAAAGGCGGTTTTTCCTGACAAACCTGGGGACTCTTTCTTCTCAGTCCCAAAGCTGCCCTGTACCCGCTGGGGCGGCTGGCGTGGAAACACCGGCCAGAACGTGCCTGTGAGGAGCCAGACCGCGCGGGGCCGTCGCCCACTGCAAAGGCTGCTCGCGGGCGTGGGACGGTGCTTCGCTGGCGGCTCCTCAAAGGGGCACACGCGGAGCTGCCACCCGACCCGCGACTCCCCGAAGACACACGTGCACCCAACACCTCGTGCGTGTGTGTTCACGGCGCTTCTCCCAGGAGCCGAACGTGACAACACGAATGTCCCCCAGGGGATGAAGTGACAAAGGACGTGACACACTGAAGGAGCACCAGCTGCAAATGGGAATGAGGCCCTGACACACGCCGGCACAGGCCGGACCGCAAGGGCGCGGCAGGAGGACCGACCGGTGAGCACGAGCACACGGCCGCCCACGGCTTGCCCGGTCCTGCGGCACGCGGCCGCCCGAGCGAAGGAGAGCTACTGCCAAGTGCACGGCCGGGCGGCCTTAGGACCGCAGGCGCGAACAGTCAGCGGCCGCGGGGAAGAGAAGGGCCACAACCATTCACGTCGTGAACCGAAGAATCACAGTGACGGAGACACGCATGTCACAGAGGTGGAAAAAGGACTCAAGGTTGTATGGCACAACCTGACCTCTGTGAAAATGATACGCGCACGGTGACACGTACAAGACCCGCAGGAGAGGCAACGGAGCATCGCAGCGCAGTGCCCGGAAGGTCCCAGCAGGGGCCTCCGTGTCCTCGGCCACCGTACCACCGGGCCCCGGCCGATGCCCTGCCAAGGGGACGCATCACACAGACGAAGGAACAGACGCTCGAGTTAGCGAGGTCCGACCCAGCCACTGCGCTGTCTCCATGTGGCCCCCACGTGCTCAACCTGCCCCCGCGCCAGGCTCTGGCCACTCATTCATTCCCACGAAAGCGTCACGGAAGCTGCAAGAGCCAGTCTGCTCCAGGCCAAACGGGAGCCGCGCGAGGTTGGAGCTGGGCCCGCCTGCTCCCGCAGGCCACCCCGGCGCACCGACATCACTGCACACTCGCTGCGGCCACACATCACTGCTTCCAGAAGGAAGCTCTTTTCCTACTGAACACAGACCCCAGCTTCCCCTCCCAGCCACAGCCCCATCGGCTCGGCTCCGCACCAGCTCTGCCTTCTGGCCCCGGCTCCCCTGCCCCACTCCTCGCCGTGGACCCAGCAGACAGGAAGGGTGGCCTGTTTCCCTGCAAACCCCCAACCTCCCTGTCCTGTGCCCGTCGGAACATCTCCCACAAAACCTCACAGCTGCTCCTGCAGACCCCACAGCAGAATGGGGGACCTGCCGCCAGCCTGGCCCTGCCCAGAGGCTCTATCTGCCGCCTCCAGGGCCGGGACCACCCTCGCAGGGTCTTGGCTTCCTCGTCTGTAGGATGGAATGGTAGCCCAGGCTGCTCCGGGAGCCCCGATCTCGTCTGTGACTTGGCATGGCACAGGCTGTGTGCACCCCTGCACCCTGTACTGTGATGGCCCGTGCGGTGGAGCCCGGAACCATCCCCGCTGGGGGACTGATGTGGTTCCCGCTCAGGCTCCGTGCCTGTTCACTTGGTACCCGTGGAAGACGCCGCCGCACCCCAAGATGCAGCCCCTCGGCACAGCAGGGATGGCGCTGGCTCGCCTCCCTCTCCGCCGCCTGCCGACACACCCACCTGCTGCTCCCACCCTGTGTTTGCTGCGGGCCCCCCTGCACCAGTCAGGCAGCCACACTGGGAACCTGCTAATGGTTACGACACCCCAAAGCAGGCAGACCCACAGCAGACCGGCCGCGTCTGCCAGACACGCGCACGGCATCCTCCCACCCCCAGGCCTGGCTCTAAGCACACACCTCCGACCACGGGGCACGCCAGCTTGTGCCTACGGATGGCCTTGTGGTGTGGCCCGCTATGCCCACTCGCCTTGGCTCCGGGCCCCATGGCCAGGCCCCCTGCACAGACTCAGAGACGTGCGTGTTCAGGGACCGGAGTGGAGTGTTTTCTCAGCGTGGCTGGAGGGACACGAGCAACTTCGTGTGACTTTCAGGTCAGCTCGCGTACGCTCTGCTTCCCGCCTGCTTCAGACACTAACCACAGGGTGAGCGCCGGCCCCAGAGGGCACAGCCAGAGGCTGCGGGGGCCGCCTTCCCCTCTGCAACAAGCGTGAACCACTGCCAGCGAGGACGGGCCCCCAACAGCCTGGCTGATGGGGACACCAGGGCGAGCCGGCCCGCAGCTGTGGCGCTCGTGCCTGTGCGCAGCCCGCACCAGGCTGATGTCAGAGGGTAGGGAAGAGGCTGCGCTGCTGGAAAGACCCGGTACCTGAACAGCTGGGTGAGTGACTTTTCCTAGAGGGACAGAGGTCAGAGTTCTGGACACATGGGCCCTGGAAGCAGGAGGTCAGTGTCCAACAGACCCCCTGGCTCTGCCCTGGAAGCCGCCTCCCCTGCTGGCTTCCCACAGGGGCCTTGTGGGGAGACACACGTGGGCTGGGGCTTCCCGTGTGGCTGGCTGTGGGGGACGTGCCTCAGGCTGGAAGCAGACACTCCCTCGGGGACTCGGCTGGAACCCTTCCCGCCTCCTCCAGCCTCTAGCGAGGACCCGCCCTCCTCGGCGTCCCTCGGTCTGGGGCCACGTCACTCCCGTGTCTGCCTCCGTCCGCACCTGGCCTTCTCCCTGCGTACCTGCCTTCTACATGCTGTGCTTTTCATAAAGACGCCGGTCACACTGGATCAGGACCCACCCTGCTCCGAGTGACCTCCTCTGAGCTGGTCACATCCACCAAGACCCTATTTCCAAGTAAGGTCACACCCTGAAGAGCTGGCCGTCCGGACTGGAACCTGTCCCTTCGGGGCCAGCATTCAGCCCGCGGGCCTCTCACAGTCGCTGTCAGGCTCTGGGCGGCTATCCGTCAGCGAGGACATCTTTGTGCGGAGGACACGGCCACGGCTCTATGTCGGTGGCTCAGATACCACGTGTGGAGACACGTGCCTCTGGGATACATTCTAGGCCCTTAGTTCAGTCCTTCCTGAGAGCCACAGGCTTCAGTTCCAAGAGGGCCGCTGGCTGCACCCGGGGCTCTCCTTCCGGTTGTGTGATGGCAAACCACGTCCTCCAAGGCCAGCACCGACGCTGACAACACTACCGGGACAGGACGCATTCCTCACAGCTTTCCAAGCGAGGAAGCGACCCGGCTCTGCGGCCAGTAATGTGGCCATATCACAGAGGAACACTCTGGTGCGTGTCCCTGCCACCCGCCGGGCCCTCCCTGTGAGCCTTCCCGCTGCCTTGCGCAGCCAAGGTTGAAGGAGCCCCTGCTCTCATGGACCATGTCCTCCTTGAGGCTGTGCTCCCGCCTGGCTGTCCAGACAGGCGCCAGGTCAGTGTCCTGGGTGCTGACGATTCTCATGAATGACCAAGCTCTGGCTCTGAGCTGGGACGTAAAACTCCTGACGGAAGCAGCGGAGGTCCTGGGTTGCACACACAGGCTGGGACAAGTTAGGAACGTGTACGTGTGTTTTAGTGAGCTCTACACCCAACGTGGGGCTCAAACTCACGACCCCAAGATCAAAAGTCACATGCTCTACAGGCTGAGTGTGCCGGGCGCCCCAAATTACACATATCTTAACACTGCTTAGGAGCTGACCTATGGACACGTGGCCACGGCGTCGTCTTGGAGGAAACCTTGCCCGCCTGGGTTCCTATGACGAGCCAGAAGTCTGAGCAGCTGCTGCCTTTGGGGTGGGGATCGGGACCAATGGGAAGGGGCGTGGGGACCTTTCCGGCGTGACGGAAATGCTGTTTCTTGTCGGAGGGCTGGGTCCCACGGGCACATTCACGGCAAACACACTGACCTGTGTGCACTGAAGATCTGTGTGCTTCACCGTGTGTCACACAGGAGCCATTCACAGGCCTGGGGAGTCTTCTGCCTGCCCCTCCTGCTCTCGCTCCCCCGGCCCCACGCTGCCCCTGCCCCTCTGGCCGCGGACCTCGGAGCCCAGCCCGCTCCTTCCAAACTGTTCCAAAGGGTCCCCGCGTCCTGGGCCACGGCACTGGCCTCAGCATCGGAGGACCCAAGGGCCAGGACACCAAGTCCTCGGGCAGGCCTGGTGCAGTGAGGTACCCAGGCCGTCCCTGCAGACGGGATCACGGCACACAGCGACCCCCCACAACAGCTCCACAGAGAAGGCCACGGCAGCAACGTTAACACTACCCGTCTGTATGGAAGAATGTTGGAATGTGGGGTTTTTTGAGATTTCGAGAACTAAAGATGTGCAGCAGTGTCTGGGCGCAGGGTCCCCTCAGCTCTTTCAGGAGCCAGATTAGCCTCGTGGCGCTGACAGACACTGGCTGAGAAGACCGACCTCCCGCTGGGGTCTGTGTGGCCCTATTCTCCCACGGCCACCGCTGAGGGGAGGCTCAAGGAGCAGGCTGCTGTGTTCCTGGGAGGGCTCCGGGAGGACGGCGGTGGCACTGACCTGCACCTCCTTCTCGGGAAGGAGGCCGCGTGTCCTCAAAGCCTGCACGGCCTGGTCTCTCTCCAGCTTCACGGCCTTGAGCACCCCCTCCTGGTCACGCAGTGTCCGCTCCGTCTCCTGGAGCTTGGCAGCCGCCTGGGGAGAGATGTGGGACTCAGTGCCCGCTGGGAGGGTGACAAGGCAGCAGCCGACTCTCAGGTCCTTCCCGGGGAGCAGACAGCAGGTGCACAAGCGAGAAGCCCCCGGGCCCAGGACCACGCGGTGCACGGGGCCGGCTGAGGGCCGCCCCAGACTCAGATGTGGCCCTCCCAGCACACAGGAGCCAGGGACCCTCCCAGCACCAGTTACGGGAACAGCTCGTGCAGTAAGAACCAAGAGGCCCTCAAAGGCTGTGGGCAGGACAGGGACACCTTCGGCTGCTCTAATCATCGTTACACGGCACGCTGCTCGGTGACGCTCAGCATCTCCCAATCCCAGTGACAATGTGGTGACAGCCCAGAGCCCTCATCCAGGAGCCACAGGGTGCTCCCAGGCCCTCCCAGCGCACGACGACACCCGACAAGCCCAGGGACGCAGACCTGATCCCGCGCCTCGCTCAGGGCCCGAATCAGGTCCTCGGCCTTGCGGTAGTGGTCCCTCTCCACGGCGTCACAGTGCTGCCGCCAGTCCAGCTCCAGCTGCGCCTTCTCGCGCTCCAGGCCCCGCTCCCTCTCCTCGGCTGCGGACAGCTGCTGCTTGTACCTCGGGGACAGGACAAGCACAGAGGTTAGTGTCTTGCACATGAAGCAAAGGTGGCGGGCGGGGGGAGGGCGCCACACACTGCGGTCGGGCCCCTCCAGGCTGGCCCATTCCCAGGTACTTGCGGACACACGGCATGCCAGGGGGTGGGGGCGCGCAGCCGGGAGGGGTCCCTGCAGCGTGGACACGGAGGGCAGGCTTGGGTTGAGACAAGAGCAGCCAGCAAGGACCCCCAGCTCTGAGGAAGCCAGCACCACGGAAGACCAAACTCAAGAAACACAAGAACCCGTCTGGAAGAAGAGAAGGAAGAAAGCCAACACACTTGGGGGAAAGAAGGAGAAGTGGTTCCAGCAGAGAAATGTGAGAAGGTTTCAGAGTGACCGCTGGAGAGCTTGGAGCCCCCGGGACAGAGAGAGCCTCCAGGACTCAGAGGACCGACGCCCATCTCCGAGCAGGTCCAGGGAGATCAGAACCAAGCAAGCAAAGGAGAAAACCCAGCACAACCCGGGGAGACACATGTCCTCGGACCAGACTGGCTCGCCAAGCACTCATCCGGGGAGCCTTATGGAGGCGCACGCATAGACGCCGCGCACAGAGCTGGCCCAGGATGAAAAGCCTCAGGGGAGACAGAGTGTGTGCCAGACGGGTCCCAGGCCTCTCGTCGGCCGCGTGGGGGCAACGCATGGTGGTGGCTCTGGACGGCCTCCCCCCAAGGGTGGCCGGGGTGTGCACGATGGGATGGGCGTGCCCCTGACCAGATGAGGCCACGCAAGGTCCCGCCTTGCCCACAGGAGGGAGTTCCCCGCCACCCGAGAAGCCACAGTGTCAGGCCCTGCAAACACCTCTGGGGCTCATGGCCACTGGGAAGGATCCCCCACCAGCCTGAAAGAGCCTGGAAGGAAGGGTCGGCCTGGCTGATGTTGTGGCCCCAGACTCATGAGACCCTGTGCCGGGGACACAGCTGAGCCGAGCCAGACTCCTGACCACAGACACAGAGACAGTAAGTGGGTGTTGTTCATGCCACTAAGTTAGCAGTGATTTGTTCCAGAGCAACAATAAAGTAACACACGACGAGTTCCAAATCCGGCGGAAGGGGCTCCTGGGTCACTCAGTCAGGCGTCTGCCCTCGGCTCAGATCATGATCCTGGGGTCCTGGGATCGAGCCCCAAGTCAGGCTCCCTGCCCAGCGGGGACCCTGCTCCTCCCTCTGCCGCGACTCCCCCTGCTTGTGCCCTTGCTGTCTCTCTCTGTCAAACACATAAATAAAATATTTTTAAAAACCCAGGGGAAAGCGATTTGGAATTTGGCATTCTAAACCCAGCAAAATCAGCACTGACACAAGAAGGCAGAGATGGGACATCCTCAGACACAAAAGCTCAGAGCAGCGGGACAGGGCTTCGCAAACGTGGCGAAAGCCCGCTTGTTTATTTCTTTAGAAGGTTTATTTATTTTTGAGAGGGAGAAACACAAGCCGGTGAAGGGGCAGAGGGAGAGAGAGAATCTCAGCAGACTCCCCGCTGAGCACAGGGCCTGACGTGGGGCTGGATCCCATGACCCTGAGATCGCCACCTGGGCGGAAACCAAGAGTCGGACGCTCGACCGACTGAGCCAGGTGCCAGCGGGTTGTTTGTTTTTAAATGAGCGCTGACGGCCGTAGCTCTGTAGAACGGCAGGAAAGGCCACAACGCTGTCGCGTCACCACGAAGTCCTGGAGCGCCTGTGCTCCCTGCACGTGGGTCCCGTGGGGCAGGAGCAGACACAGAGTGTGTTCTCTGTCCACAGCAGAAGTGAATTAAAACCAGTAACAGGAAGATATCTGGAGATCTCACAATGACGGGAAACCCAGCAACACATTTCTCAACAGCCACTGACCGAGGAAGAATCACAAGGAAAATTACGAAGTGTTTTTTTTTTTTTTTTTTTTTTTTTTTTTTTTTTTTTTAAATTACGAAGTATTTTTAACTGAATCATACCAAAACTGGTGGACGGCAGCGGAGTAGTGTTCAGAAGGACACGCCCAGCACGAAATGCTTACGTTTCTCAGACAGGCAGAGCCAAGGCCCCGCCGTCCTCAGCTGTGAAAAGAACGTCCAATGGCGCCAAGCGAAGCAGAAGGCGTAGAGCTGAGAGGGGAAGAGCCCAGAGAACGGCGCGGGGGCTGTCTGAAAAGACCTGGAGCATCGGCAGGTCTCCAGCGAGACTGACCCGAACAGCAGAGACGGTGGCGACCGGCTGTGCGCACAGCGGGGAGACAAACCCCAGGAGCGATCCCGGGCCCATGAAGTCAGCAACGACACGGGCAAACCCCCAAAAGACTCGAAGTCGCAAACTGACACAGAAACACGGAACACCTGCAGCAAGCCCGCGGAGAAGCCGGAGGCGAGGTGCCCCCAGGTGGCACGTGGAGGGGGGGAGGCTGTGGGGCTGGGGCGCGAGGAGGGGGTGCCAGCCGGCCAGGGCCAGGTCTCAGGTCTCGGCTGCGGGGACAGCAGAGCAGGCACATGCCGGTCAAGACTCACCGACCGTACGGTGGAAACAAGTGCGTCTCATTACATCTCAGCGACTCAAGAAAGCAAGTGTGCTCTTGACTCAAGCATTCACTCCACCTGGGGACAGCAGCAGCCGCCCCAGAGACCAGAAGCAGCGACTGTCCCCACAGGACCAAGCAGCAGGAACACTGCCGTGTGCCTGCGACAGACCCGAGCCCACTCCCACGGCAGGGCCTTCTGGGGCCACCCTCCGTCACCCCATCCCCTCGCCCCCCTCTCACGACGCGACGTTCCTCTTCTTCCTGTTTCCTGTCTTTCTCCCTCAGTGGGCTATGAGGCCAGGGCCTGGATTCGGTTCCCTTTTGTACCCCTAGTGCCAGAAGGAGGCACGCAGTGGAAAGACCCCTTGGGGAAGCTGTGGGGACAGTCACCTTCCAATGTCCTGCTGACATCTGGCCAGATGTGCCTTGAGTTCCACTGCCTCTGCCTGCAGCGACTGAATCTGGAGGTCCTTGGAGATCATCTCCTTGGACAGCTCAGCGATCTGGGCATCCCGGCCGGTTCTTAGAGCCAACGCGTCTTCCCGAAGTCTGCACGAAGAAGGGAGGCCGCATGAATGCAGGCGTGGCGCTCGCTCGAGCTTTCTTTTCCACGGTGCCCCCAACGCGCACACCCCCGCACGTGCACGCCGCCCTGGGAGGAAGTCTGCACGCCAGCATCTCCCCGTCAGGGTGGGGCCTTCCTCACCCAGACGAGGAAACGGTCCTACCTGAGCAGAAGCACCCGCCCACCCATCCCGCCGACCCAGCTGCCCGCTGAACTCCTACGACACGCTAAGTCCACACCAGCCGTGCAGGGCAGACGTGAGCCATGGGGTGGTGTCGCTGGGCTCACCTGTGCCACGCCTCGCGCAGCCCTCTACGTCGGGACACACGTTTGCAAATTCAACAGTGACATGAGCTTGTACAGAAACCCCTCCTCCACCTGGCAGAATTCCTAAAACTTGGATAATATCCCCAGAATAAAAACCCTAGAGAAGACACCTAGAGCTGCTGCCCAGGGAAGTGTTGACGGCACTGAAGGCCCCTGGGGTTCACTCCGTCCGCAGCCCAGTCATCAAGGAAGAGGCACTGGGCCGCCCCCTCTGGAGGAAAGCAAGCCCGGGGGGCAAGCGTCCATTCTCGGAGCCCCGCTGCCTGAGGCGCCACAGGCGTCTCAGAGGACGAGGAAGGTCTGTCAACACAGAGTTCCAGCTTGACTCTTAGCCACTGGAAAAAAACCATTTTTCTTCATATGCTTTCAACAAATTATTTCTAGTACAATGCATACAAACTCACCCTGACCTCATACCTGCTCTAATGTCTGGAAGGGCTACACAAGCGGGGCGCCTGGGTGGCTCAGTGGGTTAAGCCTCTGCCTTCGGCTCAGGTCATGGTCTCAGGGTCCTGGGATCGAGCCCCGCATCCGGCTCTCTGCTCAGCGGGGAGCCTGCTTCCCCCCGCCCCCAACCCCTGCCTGCCTCTCTGCCTGCTTGTGATCTCTGTCTCAAACAAAAAAATAAAACCTTTAAAACAATAAAATAAAATAAAGGAAGGGCTGCACGAAGTTGGAAGCTTCAGTACGCACCCAGGTAAGACGGCACACAGGCACAGGAGCTGGTCTGAAGTGAGAGGTAGCTTCAAAATTTAGCGCCCAAATATGCAAAATATCTCCATATTCATTTTTTTCAAAAATTACTAGTTCTTATTCTGATTACTTGTTACTGATGCAACATGTGATTGGGTTAAACAGTCTCCCCTCTCTTTTTGTGCCTTAACTGTGGACACTGCAAAGCGGCCCCACCCATGGGGCCAGTCATGACTATGTTGCAGGTAATACGGCGACAGAGAACACAGGCGGGTTCCCATAAAGCTTCTCGGGGCCACGGCCTCTCTACTGTGGCACTCACGACCCACTGCCCCCAGGAAAATTATCACAAATACGCCCAAAGAAATAGATCAAAATATGGGGTGTTTTTGTCGCTGGTTTTCAAACAGCATATGTCTCAGTAGGAGAAGACACAGACTGTCCGGGGCACAGTGGCCCCAGGCAGCACCCGTGTCCCAGGCCACTTGGAGCACCAGTGAGGAACACAAGGACAGACACGTCGGAAGGTAAGAGCTGGTGGAAGGAGGCCGGCCCTGGGCCTCAGGTGAGGAAGTGCTGTAGATGCGGCTGGCAGCCGCGAGAAGGGCCCACACAGAGCCTCGCAGCCCGTGCGCCCATCACACTGTCACTTCTGCGTCTCTCACTGCTGCTCCTTGTGTTGAACAGGTTGAGCACCACCGTGCGTCCAATCTAAGGAAAGCTTCCTGAAGGAGCGCTAGCTTCCCGGTGCTGCACGGTTGTAAGAACCATCTTCCCCTGACGGAGACGTAACTGGGCAGAGCACCCTCCCTAGAACGCAGCCAGGCTCATTCCCCAAACAGATAGGAAAAGCCAGTTGCTAGACACGGTGAACAGTGGCCAATGGCCGATTTAGCTGGCTTGATCAGACGGTTTCAGTAAACACAGCTTCTCCAAGTATCAGCTCCTCACTGGTGGCCGGGAGACGAGTCCAATCCCCAGTTCTGTTCCCAGAGGTTCTACACGCCAGCCCGCCTGCCCAGACGCTGCCCATGGAGCCCGCCGGCCTGCATGTACACCATGTGCAGTGCAGTAAGCACACCCGCTTACAGTCATGCCTGGCTGAGACACTGGGAAGAAAATTCCAGTTAAGAAGAAACCAGTGGAGGGGTACCTGGGGGGCTCAGTGGGTTAAAGGCTCTGCCTTTGGCTCAGGTCATGATCTCGGGGTCCTAGGATCGAGCCCCACATCGGGCTCTTTGCTTGGCGGAGAGCCTGCTTCTCCCTCTCTCTCTGCCTGCCTCTGCCTGCTTATGATCTCTCTCTGTCAAATAAATAAATAAATCTTTAAGAAGAAGAAGAAGAAGAAACCAGTGGACTACTACGCAGCCATCAAACCCCCCCAAATCCTGCCTTTTGCAAAGACACAGATGGAACTAGAGGGTGTTATGCTGAGCGAAGTCAGTCAGTCGGAGAAAGACAGTTACCATATGATCTTACTGATACGAGGAATTTGAGAAACAAGACAGAGCAGCAAAGGGGAAGGGAAGGAAAAACAAAACAAGACGAAATCAGGGGGAGACAAACTGTAAGAGACCTTTACCCATTGGAAACAGACCGAGAGTGGCTGGAGGGCCGGGACTGGGCGGCCGGGGGCACTGGGTGACGGGCACTGAGGAGGACACGGGATGCGATGAGCACCGGGTGTTGTGAGCAACCGACGTGTCACTGACCTCCGTCCCTGAAACTAATAGTTCACTCTGTGTAAATTAATTGAATTTAAATAGAAAAATAAAGTTAAAAAAAAAAAAAGAAACCAGTTGATGGAGAAATTGGAATCCTTGTGCTAAACAGTGCATTTGCTGTGAAAACCAGTCTGGCTGCTCCTCAAAAAGTTAACCATAGGGGAACCCGGGGGGCTCTGTCAGTTGAGCCGCTGCCGTCGGCTCAGATCCTGGTCTCAGGGTCCTGGGATCGAGCTCCACATCGGGGTCCCTGCTCAGCGGGGAGCCTGCTTCTCCCTCTACCTCTGTTCCTCCTGCTTTACTCTCACAGTCTCGGACAAATAAATAAATAAAATCTTAAAAAAAAGTCAAACGCAGATTTACCATACGATCCAGCAATCCACCTTCCAGGTGTTCCCCCCCACCCCAGTGAACAGGCACCCGCACACCCACGCTCGCGGCAACACTGTTCACGACAGCCACGAGGTGGAAACAACCCAAGTGTCCACGGACAGATGAATGGGTACAGTGTGGTCCAGCCAGGCAGCCAGGGAAAGGAAGGACGCCCTGTCACCTGCCCCAGCACCGGTGGACCCAGGAGGCGCGACGGCCAGTGGAATACGCCAGTCGCCGAAGGACAGACACTGCAGGATCCCGCCCAGACGAGGGACCGAGAATTGTCAACGTCCTGGAGACACAGCGTGGACGGTGGGTCCCAGGAGGTGGGGGAGGGGAACAGGAAGAGACATTTGGTGGCCATACAATGCAGCCAACTGTGCACTTTAAATGGCCAAGATGGTAAATGTCACACGATGCACATTGTACCACAATCGCATACGTCCACACACACGCACACACGGCGCGGTCTGAAGACGAGACGAGGAGAAGGCAGCCGGAGGAGAAGGACCAGAGACCAAACCCTCCCGGGCCCTGGCGGGTGCCATCAGCCACCGGGCCCTCCCACGCGCGCTCACCTGTCCAGGGCGGCGTCCTTCTCCCTCAGCGTGTCCCCCTGCCTCCACTCGGCCCGGCGCAGCTGCAGCTCGAGGGCCTCACAGCGGGCCTGCACCTCCCGGGCCCGGGCCTCCAGGGCCTGCAGCTGCTCCGCGTGGGCGCCCTTCACAGCCACCAGAGCCGCGTCCCTCTCCCTGGCCAGACGGTCCAGCTCCTCGTGCCTGGAACACAGGCAGGTGTCACAGTGGTGCATGGCCCCGCTCGGTCCCCAGTCCACACATGCCTCTCCCGTGCTCAGGGGCTGCTGTCCTGGGACCTGAGCCGTGGCGCGTCCCGCCCGGCCACCGCGGCAGCGGCCACTGGAGTGCGCGCTCGCACTGCTCAGGCAAACACTGGCTGAAGGGCTCTTAGAGGCCGGGTCCCTGGGCGACTCTGGAGCTGACGCCCCCAGAAGACAGACGGCAGCAACAGGGGCTCTGGTCAAGCAGTGCCACCGATGCCCCCACCAGCTTTCCTACTGACCCTGAAAGCAGGGCACAGCTCAGCAGCCGTCTGTCACCCAGAACCCTAAGGCTGTCCCTGTGACTGGGGACCGCAGGACGCTGGCTGCTTTTCTTTTTTTTTTCCAAGATTTTATTCATTTATTACAGACAGAGATAATGCAAGCACAGGGGAGTTGGAAGGGAACTGAGCAGGGAGCCTGGCGTGAGGCTCGATCCCAGGACCCGGGGTCTCCTGACCTGAGCCGAAGGCAGACGCTTAACGACTGAGCCCCCCAGGCGCCCCTTCCATTAGCATTTTTCAGTGAGATGGTGAAGCCTCATTCAACGAGGTCACGTTAACATACTTCTCACTCTAGTTACAATCAGGCTTCACCTACCCATGTTGCCATCTGCTCCGTGTTTTCTACCCTCCGTCAGCAAACACACGAACGCGCGCTGGCGTCCAGCAGCACAGGCCTTTCCCTCGTGGAACCGGGAGACGTCTGATCGCGACGGCTGCGGAAGGAGCAGACTCACTTCCGAGCTGCACCGCGCGGCCCCTGTTCAGGGGCCGACACAGACGCCGGGCTGGGAAGCTGCCCTCCGTCAGCGGGGTCCACTGGTGCCACGCGCGTCACCACACTGTCGCACAGCGCGGTCCGACGTGAAGCATCTGGATGCGTTCTAACGTGTCACGTGTATTAGCACCAAACTGTCCTAACCTAGAGCACTTGTGTGCGTTTTACAAGGTGTGCTCCGTGATTCCCAGCGTTTTGACAATTCTTCTCCAAACACATGCAGACCCGGGGGGCCCGAGATGGAGTGAGAGGCTCTCGCAGAGCGCCCTGAGCGGCTAACAGTCTCCCAGCGAGGGCCGGCTCTCCCGCGCAACCTCCTCAGCACTGTCCCTAAATGGAAACTGAATCCGAGAGCCCGAGGTTTTAGGGAGAAATGGTAAAGCTTGCGACAAAATTAAAAGCATCTTACTGTATACACATCACGCTAGCAAATGTGTTCTCTGAGTCACAACCTTCCAGTTTCCCAGCTTCTCAGGATGAGGGGTTCCCAAGCTAAGTAGAAGGGCACCAGGTGTCCGTAGTTACAGAGTAAGTCTCAGAAAAGCCTCTTATCCAAACTTCAGGAAACAGCGAACATGAGTTATCTGCCGACGGAGCCAGGCACCACCAGCTCTCTGCTCCACAGAGAGGCCAGCAGACATGAGACCTAGTCACGCCAGGGGGCAAGGCCAGCAGGTGGCTCCTGGCACAGAACTGGAAGGTGTTCAAAGCCCAGGGGATGCTGCCAGAGAGTCCCCCAGCTGCCCTCCGGCCGTGCGTGTGACTCAGGGGCTTGCAAACTGATGTGGGGACCCTCTCCCCTCTATCGGCGGAGCATTCCTAAGGAGATTTATTACACTTAATCACTGAATTTTATAGTGTGGTATATTGTTTTGTAAAGTATGTGCAAATAATTGTCAGAATACCTTCACTTAGAAACTTTTAGAAGGGGAGCCTGGGTGGCTCAGTGGGTTAAAGCCTCTGCCTTCGGCTCAGGTCATGATCCCGGGGTCCTGGGATTGAGCCCCGCATCGGGCTCTCTGCTCAGTGGAGAGCCTGCTTCCTCCTCTCTCTGCTTGCCTCTGCCTACTTGAGATCTCTGTCTGTTAAATGAATAAATAAAATCTTTGAAAAAAAAAAAAAAAAGAAACCTTTTAGAAGACTTAAAGCCTTGTGACCCTAGCAAGTTTCATTGTTTTTAGTTTATATAAACATAGGTATTGTTATGTATACATACACACATGTATAGAGAACATTGATTTCAAAATTTTTTTTTTTAAAGATTTTTTATTTATTTGACAGAGACATAGCGAGAGAAGGAACACAAACAGGGGGAGTGGGAGAGGGAGAAGCAGGCTTCTAGTGGAGCAGGGAGCCCAACGTGGGCCTTGACCCCAGGACTCTGGGATCATGACCTGAGCCGAAGGCAGACACCCCACCACTGAGCCACCCAGGCACCCTGATTTCATATTTCCCAAGCATAAAAAATACATTATGGGGCGCCTGGGTGGCTCAGTCAGTTGAACGCCTGCCTTCAGCTCAGGTCATGGTCCTGGGGTCCTGGGATCGAACCCCACATTGGCCTCCCTGCTCGGTGGGGAGCCTGCTTCCCCCTTGGCTGCTCCCCCTGCTTGTGCTCTTTCTTGGCTCTCTCAAATGAATGTATAAAATCTTTAAAAAGAAAAAAAGAAAAGAAAAATACCTACTCATTTCACTACACCATGACAATCAGATTCCTGATTTCGGCTCAGCTCATGACCCCAGGGTCCTAGGATGGAGCGCTGCATCAGGGAGCCTGCTTGAAATTTTCTCCCTCTGCCCCTCCCCCTCATATGTGCATGCTCACTCGCTCTCTAAAATAAATCGATGTTTTAAAAAAGAGTGACCAGTTTTACTTCTTTTCTTTGCTTTTTTTTTTAAAGAGATTTTAAAGTAATCTCCGCACCGAATGTGAGGCTTAAACTCACAGCCCCGAGAACCAGAGTCATGTGCTCCAACGGAGCCAGCCAGACATCCCTGAGCAGTTTTGCTTCTAAATGTCAGTATTTACAATGTGCTAAAACGGTGCTCATCCGCGACTACTTCAGTTCATGGCTGTTGTCAGTGGCGCGTGGCTCTTGATCTTGGGGTCGTGAATTCAAGCCCCACGTGGGATGCAAACATTACTGAAATAAATGAACTTAAAAGGAAAAAGGCCCCAGCTGTGGGCATGAAGAGGAACGCTGTCTGTCGCCACCGGCCCGTGTGGGTCTGAGCCGGACCCCATCATGCTGTGTCCGTGGTGCCCGCGTGTCCCTGGCAGGGGCACAGACACCACGTCCGCCCCCGCTCCTGCAAGCCAGCCTGGCCGAGGCGAGCACGGGCCGATGGCGTCTGCACAGTGGCCCAGAAGGCAGCTCCCAGCTCTGGCCTGACTACGGGTGAAAAGGCCGTAGACAGACTGTAAAGCTCTTCTCCTCAGGGTGTGCACACCACACAAACATCACAGCCAGAAAACCCAGAAATGCCCCAGACGGCCCACACTCCACCACCCTCCACCGTTCCCGGGACCACGTAGCCTCACAGCCATACCTACAGCTTGGTGCTTACCTACACCTGCTTACCTACAGCCTGGTGCTTTCCAGAAAAGGAAGTGGGCGACTCCTGTGGCAGGTCGAACGGTGCACACTGCCCACCCCCTGCCCCGGGGCTCTCAGGGGCCCACCTAACCCCAGGCCAGGGCTGCTCCCAAGGGCACGTGCTCCCACATGCCCGCCCGCCCCCAGGAGTGTGCCTTGTGCCCTCACTTAGCCCCCTTCATCCTGCGGGCCTTGCACGCCTCAGCCGGAACGGGCCACCACGGGCTCTCTCAGGGTCCCCGCCTGAGGGGGGCCGTGCCGGCTACAGGCTGGGCGTCCCGACACCGCAGCGCAGGGCGTGCGGCCGGTCCTGAGGGATGAGATGAGCATCTCTGCAGGAAGGGGGTCCTGGGGAAGGTACAGACAGGAGAGCAGGAGCGCTTTGCCAGGATAATGTAGAAATGAAAGGCGACTATCACCAAAGTAACCTTTGTTGCTCTGGTCTGAAACTAACGAACTGATTCATAAAACTGTTTTTTTTTGAGACGGCTGGTGCCTGCGCTGAGACTGGGGGAGGGGCAGAGGGAGTCCCAAGCAGGCTCCACGCCCAGCGCCAGCCTGATGTGGGGCTCGATCTCACGACCCCAAGATCATGACCTCGGACGAAATCAAGAGTCACATGCTTAACTGACGGGGCCAGCCGGGCACCCCCTGGTTAATAAAGCATTTATGTTTCAAAGTCTCAAAACACCAGGGTGCCCACTGGCTCAGCCAGTGGAGGGTGCACCTCTAGGTCTCGGGGTCCTGACTTAAAGCCCCACGTTGGGTGTAGAGATTACTTAAAAATAAAACCTTGGGAAAATCTTTAAATAAAAAGTTTTTAAAAGACTAAAAAGCCTAACTACACGCGGGAAATCCCGAACAGAGCATGGAAGCAGACCCAACGCAGGGAGTTCAAAGGCCAGACGGCCTGCGGCTGGTGGGAGCTCGGCCTGGCCCTAACCCCTCGCGGCCAGGCTGGGGGCCAGGAGCACTCACTTCCTCCTGGCCACCTCCTCTTCTTTCTTCCTGGAGAGCTGCACACAGTTCAGTCTGTCCTCTAAGTCCTTTATCCTAAAAAGGAGGAGGTGTCACTGGGAAAAGCGGATGAGGGCCCCCAAGGCGGCCGACCGGCGGAAGCCCCCGGCTCCAGCAGGCAGGGGCAGGCAGGCGCAGCTGCGCACCGGGCGTCCTTGGCGGCGGCCACGTCCCTGAGCTCCCGGTCCCTGCGCCGCAGCTCGTCCTCCAGCCCCGCGCCGGCGGCCTCCGCACGCCGCAGCAACTCCGCGGCCTGGGCGGCTGCCTCCTTCACAGCCACCAGCTCCTCATTCAACACTTTCACCTTCAAGAGATGAAGAATCCAGGAAGAGGCTGGGCCTGGAACCGAGCGGTGAGGAAGAAACAACACAGAGCCGCGTACCGCAGGCGTGGCACGGCAGCGGCTCGGTTCTCAAACAAGCTTTCTGGGAGAACTGCGGTCCCCGTAAGGGCTGCCGTGCCCTCATCGCTGGTGCGTGGCATCTGCCCTGCCCTCCGGGGCAGGTGTGCAGGGGTCTGGCCCCGCGGGCAGAGGGAGGTGGGGCAGGGCCCATCCCACTGTGGAGCTCAGGACACGGCCCTGCGGTCCCACTGGCCCTCTCCCCACTGGCTCTCACAGGTCCCCAAGGCCTCCTGAAGGTCGCTGCAGGGCTCCTCCAGGAGCGCAGTCAGGTGCACTGATGCACGGGGCCAGACGGGGCCTGAGAAGATGTGGAGCACTGGTGTCCCTGCCAGGATGTGAGGGCGGGCTGGGAGCTGCCCGGCCCACGCCAGTCACGGGAACTGGCCAGCGTTCCCGGGCCCTCTGGCTGGCCCAGCACTGCCCTGGGACTGTAGCATTGTGGGGAGGCCGGAGGCCTGTGGGAGGGGCCCTCCCTGACCCAGGGGGCGGGGTTGCTCCTACAGACACCTGCTGGGCGCAAAGCGGCTGCAACCCTGGGGGTGAGGAGGTGGGGCGGTGCCAGGCCAGGAGTCCTCCCCTGCTTCCTCGTCCCGCACAGCCTCCCACTTCCTCAAAGCTGGCCCTGTGTCCGCGCTAAAGTTCAGACGTACACGCTGCTCACTGCGGCCGGGTGCACAGGCTGCACACAGGCCCTGACCACCTGCCTGGCCTCCTCCGCTGTCAGTGGGGGACGAGCAGCACCTCCCCAGAGGCATGTTCCCAGTGCTCACAGAGGACACACCAGTGACAGGCTATCTGGATGGGGTCGGGGAGCACTTTATCCTGGGAGGGGGCTCCCTTCCCCAAGGCCGGGGAAACCAGAGCCTGGCACCAGCCCTCCTCTCCCTCAGGAGAAGGGCCATGTAGCAGGCACCACGGTGGGCATAACCCCTGACCCCATTACAGCAAGGGAGGCCTCTGTGTGAAGCCCGCCTTCCTGCGGCCCAGCAGCGGCACTGGATGTCTGGGGAGGGAGCGGTCATCGACCAAAGGCCGTCCCCCACCTTGAGCTCATGAGTCAAGACCACGCTGCTCATGCTGTCGGCCTGTAGGCGGAACCCGCGCTCCCGCTTCTGCATTTCTGACTTGAATTCCAGCAGCAGCTCCTGAAACAGAAGGGGCTGGCGGTGAGAGGAGGCCATCAGCAGCAGAGAAGCTCCCACAACGAGGACCCAGTGAGCGGGCCCGAAGCCGGCAGGACACTGAGGTCCCTAGAGGCAGAGGTGCCACACGAGTCACGTCCGTGTAAACCTCCAGGGGCTCTTGCAGCGTCCGAGCGCCTCGAGGGATTGTCCCCGGGCTGCCGGGAGTATCTGCTGGGCGTCCACGGAGCCGCCAGGCCTGTCTGCCAGGCACACACAGATGAGGACCTGCTGGGGACCTGCGACAGAGGCCCCTGGGCCTGCTCACCCTGCCCACGCGTGGGAGCTTTCCGGCTGATTCCGGCCGGTTCCAGCTGGGTGTCCAGGCCACGCCACGGCTCCCCACCCGTCTCCGCGCCATCTCCCTGCCAGGAGCCCCATCCCACTCCCCCCAGGATGCTGACCACGGCTCAGAGAGCAGGCAGTCTCCAGAGTTTCACCCCCAGGCTGAATCTACCCAGTAGGTCACTGTGACCATGAGAGCACTCAGCGTCACCCACCGGGGACAGGGACCACAGCCCACACCTGATCGCCCCCGGTTTCTCCTGGAGTTTGGGTTGCCCTCCGACCTCCCCCCACCTCTCTCTTTTTGGTCATCCTGTGCCCTCATATCCCTTCGCACCATCCCGTGGGCAGCGTGACCCTCTCTCCTGGGGTGCGGCCCCTCCAGGGGCGTCAGCCTCCTCACTGTGGCCTGGCTTCTCCCCGGACCACCGCCCAGCCGACCCTCCCGCCGTGCTTCACCCTCCCACCCCCATGCGCTCCCTGCGCTGCCTGTTCTCTGTGGCTTCTTCCGGGTGGGAGGAGCCTCTGCCGCCCCCCACGCCCCATGCGGCCTCACAGGGGTCTGGAAGCTCAGCTCTGGCCTGGCCCCGGCCCACTGGCTCCTGCAGGGCACTCTGGGACTCTGAGGCTGGGGCTACTCAACCCTGGGTACGCCAGGGAGTCTGCTCGGCTCAGGCCCCCATCTCCGCTCCCATCACCTGGTTCCCACTGTTCTGAACTCCGAAGGGAACGGAGGCAGCTGAGGGCTGAGCCCTTGGCCACTGGCCAGGCTGCAGAGCACGCTCCAGTAACTTCCAGGAGAGGCCCGCTAAGCCTGGTCTCTGCAGGTGCTCCCCCTGCCCCTGTATGTGCGGACCCGAGGGCCCCGCGCTCACACCTCACAGCCGTCCGCTCTCCTCCCCTCCCGTGAGTCCCCGGGAGGTCTCTGCAACATCTCCCAGTATCGCTCCAGCCTCTGCCGGCCTTTCGCTCTGAAGTCCCCGCCCTGAGAAGTGACCAGGCCATTTCCTCCAAAGTCGACCCCTTCCTGGTTTCCACTGCATGTTTCTAGAACGCGATTGCTGAATTGAACATCCTGATTTATCCTCCGCATCTCTTAAATTTCTCCTAGATGTCCTTTCTTATCTACATTCTGAATTTGTTTCTTTAAATATACTTTTAATTGTCCAAATTCTTCCTTGTTTTGTGACCAGCCCATCCTCCTAGCACCCTGTTCTTGGGTTATGGAGGCAGCACTCATCTCTGGAGGCCCAGGAAGACCCCGCGACGCCCCCCGAAAGCCTGCAAACCACGGCAGCACGAGGCGAGGCTGGCCCTGCCCCCACCCCAGTGCAGACAGGCTCGAGTTCCCACCTGTGGCGAGAGCAGGGGGTCACGGGATCGCCAGCTCGCCTGCGACGACTAGACCGGCGCGGACACCGGAGGCCAGCATGGGCACACCTGCCACCTCGCCCCAGAAATAGACACACAGTTGGGGGGCTTCAGGGTCACCGACCCAGGAATCATCATTCTTTCAGGGCCGTTTTCCCTTGAACTCTTGGCTTCTTTCCTATGCAGCCGGCGATTCTCAATGTGTCTTGCCTCACCTGCTATTCGAGAACCCAGCAAGAAAATGCTCACTGGAACGTCACCAAATTAAATCACCTGCTGTTCCTATGATCCCACTGAGGAAAGGAAAAGGCCGGGCCAAGGACGGAAGATGGCCTAACACACGTGCGCAAGGACCTGTTTCTGGAGCCCACCGGCACTCTTACACACCAGTACCATGAAGACAGATCATCTACCTTGTGAGAAGGGCAGAGAAAGTGAACGGACACTTCCCCCCAAAAAATAGCTTAATGGCCAATGAGCACATGAAAAGATGCTTACGGGGGCGCCTGGGTGGCTCAGTGGGTTAAGCCTCTGCCTTCAGCTCAGGTCATGATCTCAGGGTCCTGGGATCGAGCCCCGCATCGGGCTCTCTGCTCAGCGGGGAGACTGCTTCCCCCCTCCTCTCTCTGCCTGCTTGTGATCTCTGTCAAACAAATAAATGAAATCTTTAAAAGGAAAAGAAAAAAAGAAAAGAAAAGATGCTTACACACTGACCATCGGGGACAGGCTAAAACCACAATGAGACAAAGAGCACGACCCAGCCTATAAAATGGCTGAAATGGGAAAGACGGACAACGCCGTCCTTACAGGGACACAGAGCAGAACGCCAGCCACTGCGGGTGCTGGTGGGAACACGAGACGGTACAAATGTCTAGGAACACGGTTTGACAGTTTTTTACCAAGTAAAACGTGCCCCTAGCACAGAACCCAGAAACTCTGCTCCCAAGTTATTTACCCAAATGAATGGAGACCTGCCAAGAATGTCCACAGCAACTTCATTCAAAATGGCCTTGAACTGGAAATGACCCAAGTGTCTGAGCCGTTGGTCTGCAGGTGAATGGGCAGCCGGCTGGCGCGGCCACATAGCGCGCTCCCGGCCAGCAAGAGAAAGGACAGCGCACTGACCCCACGACACTGTCTGAAGGAGGCCAGAGAGCAGGCAGCGCATGGCTCTCGCAACGACAGACGTCGCCCATGGGCCCTCACCTCCCGTCCTCTCGCTGAAGGCTCTGCTCGGGGCTCCTCTGTTTAACACCTGCCCTTTGGTGATGTCCCAGGCTCCCAGCTCTGTACTTCATGACCTCCCCAACGTGCAAAGTCCCCTCTTACCCAACACTTCCACATGGAAGGCCAGCAACCACCTCCCACGCAGCCCGACAGCACAACACCACCTCCTGTGAGCCCTACGTGGCTGCCTGCCCCTCCGATGCCTGACCTTGAGCACCTGCCCAGGAGCTCCAAGCATGAGGGTACCCACCACTCCCTGACCACTAGCAAGCTTCTGTCACAACTCCCCCTCCTGCCCACCCTGCCCTACTGTGTCATGCTGGGGACACCCTGGGGTGCTGCACTAGAGACCGTGCTGGTCAGTGTCCACTGTGACCCCTGGAGGACCAGCTCGCACCCAGAGCAGGCAGGTCCGGGTGCCTACACTCTAACTCCAGGGCCTGGGAGGATGCCTAGCACATGGTCCACGTTCAAAAAATATTTGTTAGGGGCGCCTGAGCCTTTGGCTCAGGTCATGATCTCAGGGTCCTGGGATCGAGCCCCACATCGGGCTCTCTGCTCAGCGGGGAGCCTGCTTCCCCCCCTCTCTCTCTGCCTGCCTCTCTGCCTACTTGTGATCTCTGTCTGTCAAATAAATAAATAAAATCTAAAAAAATTTAAAAAAATATTTGTTAAATGAATGAAGAAATCAATCATCCCATTTCTCTGTCAGTGGCTTCTACCGATACAGAAGAAAGCTTCCCTTAACCCCACAGCCTACAACTCACAGGTACGCTAAGAGCCAAACAGATGACTCTGTTCTCATCACCTTAAATTTCATTTTTCAAGAAAAAAATCACTATCACCATTGAATCAACTCTCCTTCTGACAAGTCAATCATGGACACCAGAGCTTCAGAAACAAGAGACAGGAAACCAGCCCAAGGAGAGCAGGAAGTCGGGGAGCACACAGGAGCCTCGTTCAGTCACTGAAAGAGCAAGACGCGGGCAGCGGAGCTCAAGCAAGGGCAGGCTGTGCCCCAAGAACCAGCGTGGGCTCACCCTGCTCCAGAACCATGCCGGACAAGTGCCACCCATGTTTCCAGCAGCCACTTCGGGTAGACCAGCAAAGCCGGAGAGTCTCTGTCCTCCCAGAGGCAGGGCTACCACGAAAAGCAACGTCCCCCATGGCTGTGAGGGGTTCCTCGACAGATGCAGGGGCTCGAAGCTGGAACCAGCCCGAGTCACAGCAAAGACTGAGTGTGGACAGCCTGGGAAGCCCCGCAGAGGTCTGGCCCAGCCACCCCAATTCCCCGGAGGTCACTGCTGCCCCTGAGGGTCACTGAGACCCTGGTTGCCTGGGGCCCTTCTGACGTTCCTGCAGGAGTGACCCCAGTGCTGCCTGAGGAAACCTGTGCTACCCAGCAAGCCGTAAGGGTCCGGTGGTCACCCTGCTGCTCAGACCCCACTTAGTGCCCTGCCAACTGGGGCTGTTCCCAAAAGGCCAAGCTGCCCATAACGGACGAGACTCATTAGTTCTGGAAAAGTCTAGAAGTCCCCTGCAGATTTCAGGAGCTGTCAGGGTGCTCTGAGCAGTCGCAGCAACCCGAGAATGAATGTGGGGCTTCCCAAGGGAAAGGAAAGGGCTGTCTGCAGGGCCTCGGCCTCCTCGCCTATGGTCAAAGGACAGTCATGTCCCTGGGGTCTTTCCACCCTGACCTGCACAAGGCCTCTCAGGAGACACGGTTCTGTCTCAGGGGCTGACATGGCACCACGGGGCAGCAGGCCAGGCAGCCGGGCCCCAGTCCACCGGCAGGACAGGTCTGTCCGTAATTGCTGCCCCAGCACCTGGAGCAGAGCCAGCACGGCCAGGCACACCATCCGATCTGCCCCACGGCACAGTCACCAAGAGATAGGGAACAAGCCCGGGGTTCAGTGCTGTGAGAACAGGCAGAAACAGGACACAGCGCAGGCTGACTTCCGGATGAGTCCTTCCCCCCGTGTCGTGAGCAGGAGTCTAAAACTATGATGGGAGGAGACGGGAAAAGGTTCAGGAGGCCCCCAGAAGGTGCCACTCCAGCACACGGGCTGTTCTGAGCTGAAGGCGCTTGAGATCCCGCAGGCTCCAGAGAAACTGTCCTGTTCTTAACCACAGAACGATCTAAACTGGGCGTGTTTCCCAGAATAAGGGTCGTTAGTGGAGACAAACGTTTTCTGAGTGGCCCATCTGTGTGGGGGAGCAAACATCTTTTTCTCTTCTACACACACACACACGCACGCACACACGTCTAGATACGTGTATGTTTTTTAAATAACGTCTATGTCCGGCATGGGGCTCGAACTCATGACCCTTAGACTAAGAGTTCCACGCTCTACCGATGGAGCCAGCAGTGCACTCCGGGCAGAACCAACATCCTCCTGCCCCACGCTGGCAATCCTCACTGCCCCGAGAGGCCTGCCTTCCCTCTCAAGTGCCAGCTCCCGCCCCTTCTCCGCGGTTCCGACTGACATACAGACCTCACTCTGCCCAACTCTGGTGTTTCCACAGGTGGACTCCCCGAACACGCACCTAGTACATCTGACGTTCTCCCGCTCGCCTGCCTCACAGCGATCCAACTCTAAGCCCAGCTAGAAGGACCTCCGAGGGGATGGCGCTCTTGCTCCCCGACAATGGCGACGCAGGGCCGGGTTAACAGCGGCTCAGAGCCTACACACTGGACTCCCGATTCCGTCTCTGCCATTTACTGAGAGCATCTCGGGCAGGTCACTTCATGCCTCTGGGCTCGGCCCCCATCTGGGAAATTCGGATCGACACTGTGTCTCTGCTGTGAGCGGCATGGGGAGCTCCCCAGAGGCAGTTTCCACAAACGCTGCAGCTGCTACGGAGGACACAAGCTCGGCACGCGCTCGAAGGAGCCAAGGGGGCCCTGTTGCCTCGCCCCGCACTCACATGGCTCCCCCACATGTGGACTCGGCCACAAATGTGAGCGGTACCCTTCGACCACACCCCACACGCCCACGTCCGTCACAAGTGCAGGCCGAGTCTCAGGGTCCGGGGACCTCTGGAGACAGGTTAGGCACTGCCTGTAGGCCGACGCGTCTACACAGACACCCAGGACAGCTCTTTTCTACAGTAAGTAACTCAAATTTTGATTTTCAATACTTTCTCCTGAAATAAATAAGGTAGAAAACATGGACCCCTCGTGAGGAGAGAGAACATTGAGGGAGTTTCTAGAGACAGAGGTTTAGACGCCCACTGTCTCCCTCCAGGCCACCCCAGAATGGACACCTGCTCCAGTAGCTCAACTTTGATCCCAGGGACACCGCACAGTTAACAAGAAGGCCGTCTTCTCCTCAACAACTCGGTTTCCAAGTGGCGGGCAGGGCGGGCACCTGAGAGGGGCGACGCCAGAGCGTCCTACCTGCCTCTGCAGAGCTAGCTCGCCATCGAGCTCCGCGAGCTTTCTCTCCAGCTGCCGGTTCAGGCTTTCGTACTGTTGCCGCTGCTGGTGCATCTCGCCGTTCTTGTCACTGTGCAAGCAGGGCGGTATGAAGACGAGTCAGATGCGTCTGCAGGATGGGCCCTCAGGAGGCTTCAGTGGGACCTGAGTGCTACATCACACAGGCGCCTGTCTGCCGAGGAGCCTGAAATGGGGTCCAGAGTCTCCCAAGGTAATTCCCAAAGTGCCCAGGACACAAGCCCAAGTCACGGGTCACACTGAAAGCAGGAAGGTCCCCACCCAAACGGGAAAAGGCAGTCAGCACATGCTAACACCAAGACACAGACACTGAGCTTTTCCAACAAGGGTTTTAAAGCAGCCATTATGTAAAACTTTGGTGCACTCTTAAATAAAAAAAATTAGGAACTCTCGGCAAAGGAAAATTTACAAAGAATCAAACGGAAGTTGAGAACTAGGAAGTGCGACAACCAGCATAAGACTCAACCAGGGTGAGCCCAACAGCAGGACCAACATGTCAACGTGACAGACCCAAGAGTCCATGAACTTGAAGCCAGAACAACAGAAACAGCCCCGGCAAATGACAGAAACAGACTGAAAACCAGGAGCAGGGCCTTAGGGAGCTGTGGGACAGTCACAGAAGCCGAAAGCTCATGCCACTGAGCCCCAGCACGGGAGGACAAAGAGGAGGGCTGATGCGTACTTGAAGAAATAACAGTTGGAAAGGTCTCAGATTAGGGAAAAGTAGAAAGGGGGGCAAATGACGTGAGAAGACACTTGATGAGAATGACGTAGAGCCCTTTAAGGTCTCTCCAACGCAGCTGTGAGGACGAAAACCAGTATCCCCAGGAGGGCAAGCTGGCCCACGTGCCCCAGCACCTCGAGCACCTGCTTCGGACCCGCCACGTGCATCTCAGCGGGGGCGGGGGGTGAACAGTGGAGCTGGGGAGCGGCCAGGATGCCAACACCCCTCCTGTGGGGGAAGGTCACGGAGCCCCGTCCCTGCTCCAGGCGACGCTGACCTTAGCTCAGCTCTGTACCTGACTTCCCTGCGCCCTGGGAGGGTGGCATGGGGGGTGAACGCCGCCAGCCACACTGCTCCCAGGAGCAACAGGCTGCCCGGCATTGGACTGGCACCACGAAGAGCTCGGGCCTCCAGGCTTCCTGAGGACGGCGGCACCTGGGACCCGGGAGCTGGGCCCGCACACTCTTACAGGCCAGGCCGGCGGGGCGGAGGCTCAGAGCCGGGCTGGTCCTGCGCCCACCAGGCCACCCCAGCGTGTGCCCGGCCCACCACAGGAAGGCTCCAGCCACGGAGCGGCGCCACGCCAGCAGGCCCTGCAAACCCAGGACGGGGCTGGGTAGCCATTTAGAAGGATGTGGCAGGGGCACCTGTGTGGTCAGCGGGTTAAGCCTCTGCCTTCAGCTCAGGTCATGGTCTCAGGGTCCTGGGATCGAGCCCTGCATCGGGCTCTCTGCTCAGTGGGGAGCCTGCTTCCTCCTCTCTCTCTGCCTGCCTCTCTGCCTACTTGTGATCTCTGTCAAATAAATAAATAAAATCTTTAAAAAAGAAGAAGAAGAAGGATGTTGTAGAACAGTGCAGGACGCGAAGAAAAGCCGCCCCCGTGGATGGCAACTGCCCCAAGCTGCTGCAGGCCGCGTCCACGTAGGCACAAAAGTGAGCCCTCCTGGGAGAACCCAACACACCCCTCAGCTGCTTCTCCCTTCACCGGGCCGCCCTCAGGAAACAGCGTCGTCCACAGGACCACGGTCGCCGGCGACACCGCCCACCAGCGTTTCGAAGTGCACCTTGACAACACGAAACCTCAGGATCCCGCTCTAAGTGCAGGACTCCACCCGCCGCTCCGACGTCTGTGCTCACGTGCGCTCACATGCGCAGATGCACAGACACGCTCACGCACGTGCACACACACACCAGAGGGACACACCCCGACAGTTAACATGACATCACGAACACACACGCGGAGATGGGGGCAAGGACAGCAGGACAGTTTAAATGAAGCCCATGTTCTCTCTCATCACCGAGGAGGGCGCGTGTGACACGAGGGCAGCCGTCCCATCGGGGGACCCAACAGGACCCTCGGACCCGAGCCTCAGGTTCTTGGCGGGCCTGCCTCACCACAGCGCCCTGAGCTTGGGGACGAACAGCCGTTTTGCATGATTCGGACAGCCGTGGGCTCGGGTATCTTCGTGGAAATGCTACGGGTTCGGACTTCGTGGAGAAAAGCCCTGCCTGGGAGCCCCTCCCTGTGCCCCCGCCGCCCCCGCCGCCCGCGGCTGCCCTGCCTCACCTGTGCGCACGCTCCAGCTCCCGCCGGTGCTCCTGCAGCGTCAGCCGGTGCTGCTGCAGCAGGTCCTCCCGCCACCGGGCCTCGCGGGCCAGCGCCTGCCGCAGCCGGGCCGCCTCCACCCTGAGCTCGCTCACCTCCGCCCGCTGCGCCTCCTCCAGCCCCTGGGCCCGGGTGAAGGCCACGTCGTAGCGCTCCAGCTCGCGGTCCCGCTCCTCCAGCACCCGCAGGTTGTGGACAAAGTCCTCCCGCAGGCTCCGCAGCTCCCCCTGCGCCTGGTGCAGCCGGCTGTGTGCCTCCTGCAGCGCCGCCTCCTGCAGCCGGCCACGCTGGGCCTGCAGCGCTCGCCACTCCTCCTCCTTGCGGGCCAGCAGCTGGCTCAGGGCCTGCTCCGTGGGCGGCAGCATCGGCGCGGCTGCAGCAGGGGGAAGGTGGGCAGCGGGCCCGCAGTTAGGGGCTCTGGCTGTCCTTCTGCAACACCCGCCCCAGGTCCCCGTCCTCGGCATTGCTGTCACCAAGTGGGGGCACCCTGTCTGGTCACGCGTTCTGAGAGCCGCAGGGGGGGCCCCCAGGGCGAGACCTTGAGGGCTCTGTTTAGCCTGTCCTCACCCGGCAGCGGAGGAAGGAAAGACAGGAAACCGCGGGCTCACCGACAAGTGCTGGGTCCTTCAGAACAGGCTCTCGAAGGGATGAGAAAACGTGGCCACGAAGGATGTGAGCGAGCGCTGGAGCCCGCCAGCCTCCGAGAGCCGCCGGCCCCACGCGGCACCCGCCTCGGTGTCCAAGAGATTCAGCACTCACGAGCCGCTTCCTTGCCTCTTGATCTCCAATCCACCGAGGACTGATACTTTCCTAAAACAGCAAAATAAAGTAGTAAAGGAAAATAAAATTAGAATACAAACACAAGCCCAATTTCTAAATTATTTGACTCAACAGCATAAAACTACTTTGCCAAACTGCTAACAAGTGTCTGAATGCTTCTTGCTCCTGCGTGTCTGCCAAGGATGGGCCGCGGGAGTGTGCACGGGGGGCGGCAAGCAAGGGCGCCAGGCGCGCCAGAGACCACGTGGCCTGGGCACGTCCCCTCACCTGGCAGACAAGGGGTGGCTTCTGACATATAAAACCATGTGGTGCTCCGGGCCCTGACCTGCGCAAACGGGCCCAAGGCCACACAGCAAGCCCAGACGGCAGGCAGGCTGGGCCCAAGGGCCACGGTCATCCTGGGGGCAGACGCTCCAGGGGCAGCCACAGCGCTTCTCTGAGAGCACCGTCCCAGAAGGGCTGGGGGCATATGAGTCGGGCATCCGGCAGGCACATTTGGATATCACTGTCATCCCAAAGAATCTAAAATGTCTGATTCACGTGAAGTGGGTCTTTTGTAAGAAGAAGAAATCCCAGGTCACCAGGGTGGCTCAGTCATTGAGCGGCCGACTGTTGCTTTCAGCTGCGATCATGATCTCAGGGTCGTGGGATCAGGCTCCACAGTCAGCCAGGGGTCGGCTTCCCTCTCCCTCTGCCCCTCCCCCACCCGTGCTCTCTAAATAAATAATCTCAGAACACGGCTACAGTAGAAGAGGAAAACATCGCGTGACAGAAATCAGGGTCAGGCAATGGAGGCCACGTAACCGCCGCCGTCAGACGGCGCATCCCACCAGAGGCTGGAGGCCGGAGCGCTGGGAACAGGCCGGAGCGCAGTGGCCAGCATCTTCGTAAGGAAAAGGCAAGGCGATCGGTCAGGTGAAGCCAGTATTTTCTTGGCATCGGCCATCGACCCGAATGAACTCCGTATGCGGGGCAACCTCTACAAGAGTAAGGAGTCCCGCGGCACAGGGCCTGGCTGACTCCTGCTGCAAAGGCAGCTGGTAATTCCTCAGGGCTCTGTGGGCCACAGGGCCTGTTGCAGCTCTCCAGCTCCGTGCAGAAGCAGCCACAGAGCATGGACGACACCGGCTGGATCTGGCCCGCGGGCCTGCTTTGCCGAGCGCTCCAGCTCTGCGCAGGGACACTGCCACAGGTACCATGCGGCAGCCTCCAGCGCTGGCCGGCCCAGGCCCTCAGGGCTCACTTCCAGCCTAGCCCGTCTGGGGCTGACTGGGCGCTGGAAAGGAGCAGCAGAGCGCGGAGGGAACGATGGCGCCAAGACCCAGAGCAAGAGGCTGAAGCAGAGGAGGGCCTGCAGAGGCTGCGGGGACCGCAGGACGTTGCCACATGCGATATAACGAAAAACACAGCGTGGCCTTCGTTCTCAGTTCCTGGCACACGGCTCCTAAAACCCTCACGACCCTACGGGGCAGCTTTTGTTCCATTCAGTGTTTGTTCCCAGGTTCTGAAATAACTTCAGGTGAGAGGGTATCTTCTCTTTCATAACAAACCTGTCAACACACCTGAGTTTATGAGGCGACTGTGGAAAGGCCCAGAAAACCGTGGGATGGAGCTGGCTGCCAGGGGAACCGACGCAGGGATGACAGGGTTTCCTTTCCCGCTCCCCCACCAGCTTCCCCCGGGAGGCGGACTCGATCACCAGTGGCCAGTGGTTCTATCAGTCATGCTTATGTGCTGACGCCTCCACAGAAATCCCTGGCCAAAGGGTTCAGAGAGCTTCTGGGTCGGTGAACACACTGGGGGAGCCCGAGACAGCACGGAAGCTCTGCACCTCTGCACTCGTCGCCCTGGGCATCTCCTCCGTCCGGCTGTTCCTGAGTTATAGCCTTTCATGATGAACTGGTCATCTAGAAAGCGGAATGTTCTGGGAGCCCATGGAGCGGGTCGTTGGACCTCTGATGTCCGGCGGGTTGTCAGCAGCACAGGTGACAACCCAGACTTGCCACTGGCATCCGGGTGGGGCCAGTCTTGAGGGGCTTCCCCCAGCAGTGAATCGGAATCCAGTTCGACCGCAGATGGTGCCTGGTGGAGGGGAAGCCGCGTGCCGCCCGAGGCAGAGCAGAGCAGAGCGTGCCCGCAGAGGGAGGGAGGCCCAGGAAGCAGAGGCCCGCTCGCTGGGGGCAGCAGAGCTCCGCCGCCACGTCCTCCCCAGGGCTGGCCCTGCCCAGGGGCAGCCCCAGGTCCCCTGCCTGCACGGGTCTGCAGAGAGGCTGTGCTCCTCCGTGGCCAGCTGCCGCCAGAGCCAAGGTGCCTCGCACCAGGCTGCAGCCCTAACCCTGCGGGCCTCTCGGCCTCGGCCAGCACACCGCGTCCCCCCCACTCCGCCGTGACACACCCTGCCAGGCACCTGCTTGCCATCCTGAGTTACAGACCGCCTGAGCCCAGCACCCCACGCTTCTGCCCCCAGTTTCCCTGGCTCCTTCAAAGGCAGCCCTCTCTCCAGCTGCCCAAGCTACACGCGCAGGGTGAGCCTTGCCTCCCAGCTGCCTCTCAGCCCCGCACCTCAGCCGCCATCATCCCTGAGCTGCGGGGAGTCACCACGAGGGCCCCGGCTGTGCGCTCACTCGAGCACCGCCGAAGGGACCTTCTAGGAAAGGAAAAAAAGCCTAACTCCCTAGGGCTTCCCATTCGGGGACACTTGCCGCCATCGCACGCCCTGGAGCTCGCCACCTGCGGCCACGGGCAGGGTGGTGTCAGGCCTCCAGGCGGCTCCATCATGGGAACAGGGCACCCCGTTTGCTTCCTCCCAATGCAAAATACCCAAGCACCCCACACTGCGGTCGCCAGCCCTCACCCCTCCAGATCCACGGCGACTGAAACTTCAGACGTGTTAGTGGATGGATGAATCGCAGAAAAACGAGAGACGTTTACTTCTGGAAGCGTTTATTCAATGAGAAAGGGCGCCCTTGGCGCCAGCTCCAGTCGGTGACTTGTCTCCCCCAAGCAGACAGCTGAGATGCACGGAGGTCACCCAGGCTCTGTTCTGAGCCCAGGCCCCAGCACGCAAACAGTGATGACAAATGTTCGCCCTGCGCAGGAGCAAAGCCCTGCAAAGGCCACATCGCCGTTAGCAGAAAGCAGCAAAACACCCCCAAGGGCACGGTGAGCTTCCTAGAACCCTCCTTCGCTCCTCCAGCGAGAATTTATTCCGCGGCTACCAGGCGCGAGGGGCTGGGTGGCCTCCTCTGCAGGCGGGCAGGTAAGGCCCCTGCACCCGTGCGCCACCACCCCGGGATGAGACGGAAGCACAAAAGAAAATGGGCAGAGGAGGCAACTCCGCATACCAGCAGAGAGACTGGGCCCTGGGCTGCCCGGGGCAGAGGCCAGGGAACACTCCACCCACTGGCACAGAGCACGAAGGGGCCCTGCTTGGCCTTCAGGAGCCTTCCAGGCCCTGCCTGGACCACGGTCTCTGCGCCGGCTGCAGGGCTCCCGGGACCACTGAGAACCCAGGACGACGGCAGGCCAGGCAGGCCGCCCAGCCCAGCAAAAGCCCGGGGGCGGAGCCGGCGACCTCCACGGCTGGGGCTTTGCCCACACTAACTGCGTATCTACTAGCTGCCCAAAACCCCCAAGGTGCACGCACCCCGCTACCAGCCAGCGGGGGAGCTGTGAGCGTGGCCCAGGAGCTCCGGGGCAGGCCCAGTTTGGTCAACAAAACCTGGCGCCCACACAGGCCACCCACACGCCTGTGCCCACTCGCAGGGGACGACTCGGGACTAAAGCAAACACACACCACCACATGAGGCCCCCGCTACTGTGACCTCTGGTGACTCAGACTGTCGCCCAAAGTGCCCATGAGTCATCACCACCATCCTTCGCAGAGAACACACCGACGTCTGCCAGGTCTACGGGACCCCCCTCCTCCGGGGACCGCTCACGAGCGCCCTGTCCTGTGACAGGCACCCTACCACCAGCTTCGCCTCGTGAAGGCTCTGGTCACACCGCTACCCACAGGGGTACTCCCGTAATCCAGAGAGCCAACCACGGGATACCATGTCTGTACGGTGTCTGGACACGGCTCTGGCCATTCTCAAAGTAAAGTTCAACCTGTTTGGGACAGTATTCGGGGAGTCCCGGGACAGCTCCCTCCTAGGGAGTGAGCGGCTTGGATGGTGCAGCACCCACTGGTAACCGCCCTGCAAAGACGCACACCCCTTCCCTCATCACAGAGCAGCCTGTGCCCTGCTGCTGGGTGATCTCACCAAAGGATGATCCTAAAAGCCCCGAGGCTGACAATAATCGGCTTTAAACGTCACAGAGTCAGATGGACCCAACGGGTCGGCCAGTGGATGTCCCCAGCAAGCGTCCAGTTTTCAGGAAGGATGGCATGAAGCTTCTGGGGAAACTACAGACATCCCACTGAGGGGAGAGATGCACCGTTACCCTGGCTTTGCGCATGGCGTTCCCAGTGTTCTAGGGGACCGGGGGGTCAGCAGGGGACTGAGCAGGGCCATGCGAGGCCATACCATCACTCTGACTTCCGTGTGTGTGAAACACGGAGCTTTCTAACCCTTATTTCAGACCTAGCGC